AATGTAATAATATCATATGAGATATTTGAAACTTAGGCAGAATCGATTCTATATTGTCTTTTGATTTTAATCTCTGGATTCATTTTCAAAAAATTGTATATTTATTGTTTTCCAAGAATAGAATTAAATTCTTTTATATCGAGGAGATATTCTTCAATATCTCGAATTTGCTGATAAATAGGATTAATATCTAAACTTTTTTGTATTAATATCTATTCTACTAAATGTTTCTTCTAAATCAAAGTAATCTTTTATATACTCTGATAACTTTTTTAATAGGAAACACAATTATTGATATAATTATAAAATGTAATACAAAGAATCCTATAATCCAAAACAGCTTTTTGTATCGAAATACTATTTATGATAATATTTAAAATTGTAGCAATATCGTTTTCAATATAGAGTTTTGATATTATATAAATAATAGTATATCAAAATTTGAAATCGATTAATTGAATGGTTATTTAATTATGAATTTTTGAAAAAGGTAGGTTGCTTAGGCGGTATGGGTTTTTAGGGTGGTCCATATGTGGGGTAGTTGACTTAGTAAATTCAGTTGAGCAGGATGCTCTAATTCTAAAAGTGATTTAAGATTCGAAGACCTTTAAACTGAGCTTTTGAAGCTATATACCTAAAGTAAGGTATGGGTAGCCATACTGTAAGCGACGATGCATATTTATAGATGGTGGCTTTTCCGAGGCATATCTTAGCAGTGTAGTCAATAATTAAGCAGCTGAACTAGTGCACTGATTGAACTTGCAGTTTAGTTTGGTAAACCCAAACTGCCAGTCGGTTTAGTTTGATGGAATCAAACTGCCAATTGAGCTACAGCCTCCTAAACTGCCAGTTTCCCAACTGGTTCAAACTACTGACTACGTTGTAGCTTAGTATGATGGAATCTTTTGCCTTGTCAAAATGTCATTTCTCTACAACCACGCAACTGCAACCAAAATTCCGTGGCCTGAGAGAACAAAAACAGCAGCTCCGCATGCAAGAAGTGATGGCCAACTTCGCTCGATAAGTCCCGCATTCTTCATATCGCCGATCAAATACAGTAACCATAAAATCCCAGCCCCAAATGAAAACACTTGATCGGATTGGATCAGTCTTCTCATAGCTTCAGGAAAAGTAGCTTGGTCGATAGCTCTCGGATAATATAAAGTCATTGGCGAATAAGGGGACGTCCAATTCACTTAAAAATCCAAGCAACACCAGATACGAGAGCGAAAATCTTGACCGTGACATGGGCTGCTTGGTCATTCTTTGCATGGTTGGTCTTGCTAGCGATGGTGTATCCAAGGATGGTTTGACTGACACCAAACCAGATAGGAAACGTTGCCAGAACCATATCCACCAATACCGTATTGAGATGGTGCTTCCACACTACATCATGAATATAGGAATGTAAGAGAATGCCGATATGGTGAGGATGATGAATCTGTTGGAAGGGGCATGTATATCATGAAGACGGGGTCGCCTTAGTGTATCGGGCGTGGATGTGATGTAATGAAGGTAGAAGTATATTGGCGCGATGACACCAGCGCTGAGCACTTGCATCGAAATACCAAAGACCACGGGACTAGAGGTCAGTTATGTTAGATGGTTTAATGTGGTCGATTTATACTCACAGGTAAGATGGGGTCCAATGATTGACAAGACTTGTAAGATTCGATCATCCAAATGATGTACACAAGGCTGACATCCAGGAGAAAACTAAACATCTGATACCAGGCGACTGGGTCAACACCGAATGCTGAGGGCCCAAATGCAACGGATATTCCTCCAAAGATCTCATCGAGGAAGCCAACACCATAGAAGCTTTGTTTGATAGGAATATCAATAGAGTTCCATGATATACGTCCTGTGGGAAGAATCTGTTCCAGGTGAAGTAAAACATCTCCTCGACCCATACACATAAGACACCCGATTGAAAATGCGAGGATTGGTAAGCCTATAATGGCCCGAGTGATTTTGTTACTTGTCATATTGTGAAGCATTCTTCAGATAATGTAACAAACGATCGAGTGAGTTGCTATGCAAAATGGGACGGAGGAGATGTTGGAGTATTTCATGGAACAGATCTAGAGGGCTTCTTGCCAAGAGAGAGAGATTCGACACCGGGTAGTCGATCCCGCACATTTCCTATATCTCCTCTGCATAATGCTTCGTGTATATGATGAGATATCATTTGGGGTGTCTTGAAGAAGGTATTGAACCGGAATACGAGCTGCTAGATGCCAAAAGCGGTGAAATTGGTCACGGGGCGTTCAAAGGTCCGAAGTTTATGCAGAAAGGATAATATATCAATGAATCCTTTCTCTTTATCTTTCTTTTATCAACATTACAATTATACCATCATCTTCACTGTGCCTCCCAACTGTCTCAAACTCAGCCGCAATAAATGTCTTTCGCAGTATTATCCTAGTGGTTAAGACCTGCATTCTGTGGCAAGTCGAGCTCATCCTTTCGCCAAGTTTAAAATGGCTGTAATTGGAAAATAGGCAGCTTGGTTCGGAAGTAACTTGCGTAATCTTGCCTGCGCCGTTGGAAAGAAGAGAGTCGAGGCAACTTATAAAAGGCACAATGTCACCGTTAGTTGAAGCTCGGTTTTCTATGAGCCAGTTTGAACAAGACGGAAGCTCAGGTGTTGTTTCAGTCATGTGACTTTGCTATAAACGAAGTCATGTTCGGCCCAGTTGTTTCAATTGTCGTACGTTGCTTCAATTTATTCACATGTTTAGTCCTACGTCGTTGTATACCGTTTTAGATTGCCTTCTCGAGAACTCGTTCATTCCAATTCTCTCTATTGAACAGCAATGCCTAAAGGTAGGGGGAGTCTTGGAAAGAAAACGGTGTGATATATCAGGGCTGTGTGCACGATGGTGCTATAGGAAATCGGCAAAACGACCAAGCATCATGTTTCTCAAGTTTTTGGATGATCATGTTGACTTTATATCCGGAAATTAATATGTTGAAGAGTGGCGTGATGATCTGCTACCATACATGTCTTCCAACAAATCTAGCTAGTGCTAAAGAATCTTTCCTACATAGTATCCAAGTTGACTTGGTGGTCAAAGAAACATCGTGTTGCCTCAATGTCCAACATACCGCACTATCATGTACTTCATGCTAAGAACGTATTTGCGATAGGAAACCCTAAGGTATATTCTCCCTGATTCAATGGATGTCAGGAGTGAGCCAACAAGATTACAGACTTTAGGTTTCGGTCGATGTGGAAAGATTTTGCGTTAATACCTGTACGCACCCCACCTTTTCACATACCACAACCTCATCGATCTTGTTTTTGAGTGCTTTGCTTTTGGCGGATCTTGTATAGCTACTCTTCCAATTTGTGACTTCGGAAGGTCTGTGGACCATCTAAAAGCTGTTTAGAGGACACCGTTCATGATATTCTGACCATGGCACAACCTCCTTATCTTAAATATCCACAGACAACGATATCCGAACTCGATGAAGGAAGATCAGATCAACAAGCCATGAAGACCGCTTCCTTCACAGCGAATCACAACTAGGCAATGCAGCTGGCTTTAAAAAGTCTTGTATCTAATAATTCTGTAACATTCTGTACTTTATGGTGGTACAGGTCCATTCTCGTGGAGACATTTTCTGAATCAAGGATCAAATTCCGCTTCTGAGGCTCGCTGACAGCATGGCAGTGCGTGTTTATCGATGTCCTGCGCTTGGTTTACAGCGCGAAGCTTCTTCAAACTACCGATTAAACTCAATCATTCATACCACTTGGTCTTTAGTGGTAATTTACACGACAAAAAGCACCTTGGCTCTCCGTTTCCGCTTCTAACATTTCAATAAACCCGCCAATCGTACATTTCAGTCAAGCGGAGATCATATTCGGTATCTTACTTACTTCCCTCCCAAGCCCCCCACGACTTTTGAAGCACCACTTCTGAAACTGGTCAATTCCTATGGCTGTGGCAAATAATGCTCATCATATTTTGACCTTTTGAAGATCGAGGGAAAAGTCAAAGAGATCAGAAGGGCCACATATCAGTACCTTTTGAGTATGGAAAACTATGACGACGCCGCGCATGATCGGAGCTCAAGGGATCGGATTTGAGTTGAACTGTGAAAGGATGGTACTGCTTCGTACCAGTAGCATTACTCAGATATAGAAAAATGGTCCTGACATCCTAAATCGAAAGGCAGGATTGAATTTTCGTTGTATCAGCACATCATCGAAAACTAGGAGTGACTCCATGCCTCGGGGGGATTTCGTCTGGCAGAAATGCAATTTTAATACTAGATCAAATACTAGATGGGAAAACAAAATCTATCCAGTTTCTTTGGCACCTTTAATCACAATCATGACCCTCATATTGGATGTACCTTTGGGACATGACATATATGAAAGCCGAACCGAAGCGAGCTAGCAAATTCTTTTTATTTGATGGTTATCTGCGGGTGATTTGTGCAATGATGACTGCCATGGGATATAAGCCTTACATATATAAAAGGATACCTAGAGAAAATATTATATCAACATTCCATTCAAGCAGCGGGAGTATTAGACCTTTATCAATACTTTACCAAACCGACCCATCACTCACAGAATACTCAATTCAGCAATACAATTAAAAAGCCAATTCTACTCGTAGTGCCTTAACGTATGGATATGGAATTTTAGACCATTAACAGATCCAAGTCAGTTGCTCATACAAGATCAACCAATACAGTAAATACTGTATACTGGCAACCAAAACAATATGGCATCAAAATGAAGTGTATATATATGATGTTTGATGTTTGATCAGACTCGGAGGTATTTGATGATTCTTTACTTTTGTTTGTTTTGTATGGAGGATGGTTCCGCTTTCAGAGACTCGATCGAAAACTATTCATATTCCTCTCAATTACCCCCGCCATTGATAATACAGGGAGAGACTCATTAACCCGAGGCGGTGGCTATGTTTCTTACTTTTTAGTTATTAGTTGCATCCATCCTTGTGCCTTTCTATCTATATTCAATCTTTTACATATTCCATAAAAAACTCTTCAAACTTATTCTTCCGAATATCTCTGTCCTCTGCATCAACTTAGATATCGAGAACAAGATAAATATGCATCGACCGTGACCTTTTGCATCAAAAACAACGGAAGGGTTGTATCTTATCTAGATGCCCCATCAGATCTCGGTAATTCATTACTAATATTCTTGAGTGTATCAGATGTAGTAATAGTGATATATTATTATCAAAGTATAAATTAGATATAAAAAGTAAAGCAGTATAAGCCAATGTTATGGTTACAAACCAAAGAATCACTTGATATAGGCCGATTCACTATTTTTCGGCAAGTAAAAAATGATATATTCAAGAAGAGGTTTAGTGTATGCAAAATAAAAGAAATCTAGGTAAATTTTGCGAGAATCCGAGTTCTGAAACAAAAAGAAAAACAATGTAAAGACCTGAGAGTGGGATACAAAAAGTTCAATGTGAAGGAAATGCAGAAGTATATCTCTAGAAGCTCATTAGACACATTTACATATACAAGGGAATCTTATCTATTCTGATTATAGAGCAACTCCTGTGAGGGGAAAGAACGATCTAGATCCGTACAAGATCGCTTAGAAATTCACTCGCAGTACCTCACCTCCGGAGAATAAATTAACCCGAGGTTCCATGCAAGAAATTTGGTGGCTTGCTGCGTTTGAGCAGCACATTTTTGAAGTGTTGTATCCGAGGACTCCAGCTTGCGATTGTTCCTCTAGGCCCCCCCACAGATTTAACATATGGAGTTGAGAATCCCCTGCGGTAGGTACGGATCTATTCCTTGATAACTTTCAGGAATCATAACTTCAAACACTTGAGATGAATTGCTAGCATTATTAGCTTATTATCTAATCGTTTCTTTGCAAATTATATACATCGGCTCATGTACTTCAATGTGCCCTTCTTAATTTCGCCAACAGTTCAAAATGCAGCTCCCATCTCTAGAGGTCCTTGCCTCTTGGCCAGCACCGAACTATGTCGACCCCGAAACGCGTGGAAATGCCGTCCTAATTGTCAATGTGATATTATTTCCCGTGGCTCTGTTGATTGTACTTATTCGGCTCTACACTCGACTTCAAATATCGAAGAGTTTTGGATTAGATGACTGGCTCATTGCTGCAGCTATGCTTCCATCGACCACATTCGCTGTTCTTGCCATTCTCGCAGAGGAAGCTTTCCAATTCAATCGACATGTGTGGGATCTTCCGACGTCGCAGGTTACGTTTGGCTTGCAGTACGTCATGATTACACAAATTGTCTTCACGCTTGCACAAACTCTCACGAAGTGCTCTATGCTGGCTTTGATATATCGCATCTTGTCAAATGGGAAACGTTTCAAGATATTTACTATAGCAGCTACAGTTATAATCGCAGTCCAAGGCATGATATATATCCTCGTTGTCATTTTCCAATGCCGGTGCGTTAGCTCAAGTCTTCATACTCTTTATACCTCAGTGTACGTAAAGCTCACTGAATGATAAAACAGATCACCGTCTCGTTACTGGCTCATAACGTTTGCTCCCCAGCCAGAATGCATCAATCAAACAGTTCATGTCACGTTTGCTGGAAGCTTGAATACTTTGACGGATTGTCTAGTCGTCCCATCCCAAAAATTCTTAAACTAAAAATTTCTCGACGCCAACGTCTCGTCGTCATCTTGCTGTTCGCCGCCGGATTTCTGGTGTGTGTTGCTGGAGCCGTAAGGACTTATTACACCCATGTAGAATTAACTTCGGACGATGCAACCTGGGATACTTATTATGTGTGGATAAGTAGTTCTGTCGAACTTTATGTTGGTATAGTATGTGCCTCATTTCATTTCTACCCGTTTTCACTTCGCCGTATACTTTCGTTCAAATCAATCTATATCATGATCTCGCAATATGGAGTGAAATATTCTAAAAGACAACCAGATCGGTGCCTCAATTCCCGCCACTAAACCGTTCTTCAAACGCTATATACCCTTCCTCCTCAATCCCTCTCTCAGCTCCAGTCGCAATAATCATTACATCATCTCCTCTGCCGACAAGGGGCCTTTCTCAGGATCCAATACCAATACCAACGTCACACCTCGAACCTCACGCACATCACGAACATTATCACAAGTTGATGTTGAAATGGGTGAGATTCACAATCGAGAAATGAGAACGAAGAGAAGTTCGAGGAATCTGGATGCCATTGAAGAGGTTGGGGGAAGCGATACTAGTATTTCGAGTTTTGTGAATATAGGAGGTGAGGGTGAAAGAGAGAGAAAGAGCGATGACTCTGAAGGGGAAGTCATGGGTATGGGGATGAGAGATGGCGCTGTGAGTCCAAGGAGTGGGGATACGTTTGATTATAGGAGGACTTCTAAGGATGAATTGATTGATGAGGTGGATGTAGGTGTGGCAATACCTTACAAGGCTCATCTTCCGCGATTTTCTAGGTGACGAGTAGCCCTAGATAAGTTATAACGTGGCTGGCGGTTCAGATTAGGTCTCTCGCATGTGATTTTGAGTTAGTCTGAATATTTGGAGGCTCATGTAAATGGAGAGAAGAAGAGATGAGAGAGGTATTCATATTTATCGGTATCATAGGGCGTCGAAAGGAGCTGTTGGTTGATACAAAAGCGCATATATGAGCAAGGGGTTTAGGCGTCGACAAAATCACCTGTAGATAGTATTTTTTACGTTTTTAAAAAGGTAGTTCGTAATGTCAACATCTAAACATAAAGAAGAGATACATTACTTCACGCTCCTTACTTTGCCGAGTCACCACCCACTGGCTTTTTTCCCCGGAATAATCTAGTAGCTATCAAAATGGGCTCCTGATCACTGCCTCAGCAATACGTGCATATTGCAAAATACTACGGACTTCCCCTTTCCACATCTGAGCGCTTTTCTGATTTTTCTGCTACTATCCCATTATCATTGCCACTACTGTATAACCAATCCATCGTCATCATACCTATGTATCAAGTAGTTCTGAGCCGAACAGTGAATACATTTATATTTGGGTTTTGTTACAGATCATAAACAAGATCATAAACGAGATCTGATCTAGTGGCTGCTCATCTAATCATCGTTCTAATATGCATTCACTTCTCTCGGCTACGACGGAATATTGTTGAAAGGAACTATAGCTAATTGATTTCATCTTATCTTGGCTTTTACTCTCTCGATTAGCATTGCAATTTCACAAGATAGTTGTGGCACTGTACTTGTTCCTCTTGAATGCCACTACTGGCTTTCTCTGACACTCATTTACTAATTCTCTCTCCTTCATGCGTTTTTTGTCGTTCACGCCTCTAGTGTATAGGTTCATCTACCTCTTTTGTATCTTCCTTCCTCATTCATCACCTCTCACTCACTTCCTCATTGGCCTCCCTTTCATTTTCTCATGCAATCCTCTTTATTGCCTAACCCCGACTCTGTCATTCATTCATTCACCTCTCCTTCTTCATATCATCGCTAAGTTCCAACTCATTCACCCAATTACTTCCCTTCCTATTAATATTCACTTCCTTCATCTATCCTCCAACTCTCTCTCTTTCACTATAACCGCGAGTTCTAATATTCCCCCCTTCCCCCCAACTTTCTCAGCTATATTCACTTCTCCCATCTATCTTTAACCAGACTATCCGAGCCTCATCCATTTGAAAGTTCATTTCACTTTTTGATTAACTGATCAAGCCCTCACCCATCTCTTAGATTCTTGTTCATTATATCTTCTCTCTTTCTAATATACCTCTTCTTCTACTCGTAGATCTTACCTTCCCCATTTACCCCCATTCACCTTTCTCACTCTCCCACATCCCCTACTCCCACGCCTCTCTTTCACCCCTATACATCGTTGCCTCATAACCCCAAACTCAAACTTCCACATCACCACCACCACAAATCTTCAAACCAGCAAACTACAATCCAAACCACCATCCAAACAACCACCAATTCATATTCCCCCACCTCTACTTACCAGTGCTCTTCCTCTACTAACGTAAAACCCTTTGCTTTTCCCTTTAATCACCCGTTACTCTTTATATCGATATCTATATTTCTATCTCTATCTCAACTCTATACCACTTCACTCCATTATCTCCCATAATTACCATCAATCATTACCGCTCTGGCAGTTATATACTCGAGTAGATTCCATTCTGAGTTCACCTCCTCCAAGTTTATTAATCACATATTAATCTTAATCATATATCACTACTACGAGTAAGATGCTAACATGTATTTTCTTTTCCTCACCTATCCACATTGGATAAATCAATAAGATTTAAGCCTATTGCCACCTAAACCTAGTGCTAGATATTCTTCTTGTATTTTCTAGTTGAACTTTGCTTTTGCTCAAGTACTCCTATTTTTTTATTTAATCGAATATACAAACGTCTAACATCTAACATCAAAACCAAAAAGGTCTATACCATTACCACATAATAAATATATTCCGCCAGTACGAAATACCGTGACTGGGACTTTCCTTTCCAAACATCGACATATATCTACTCAAAAACCAAAATTCTTTCCCCAACAAGTACTCAGATTTACATATGACAATATCTATCGATATCCACTTCCCCAACCCCTATCTCTCCCACAACATTCTTAATTTCCCTCTCATACCCCTCCTCTATTTACCTTTATTTTCCTTTTAAATCCTTGGAATTTTTTCTCTCCAAAAATACAAAAGAATGATCACTAGCGAAACCTCCATATCTCTCCCTAAAAGGAAACACGCTAGCACACACTGTGACCAATCAAGATCCCCTAATAATCATATACTATACTCAAGTAGCGTGATAGAACAACAGTACTCATCACCCAATCATGTAACTAATCACCTACCCACCCAACAATCCACTCACCCATCTTCAACCACCAATTCTCCTCTCCAAATTTCAACACTTAAATCTATACTCAGTAGATATACTCGAGTACATATGGTATACAAAGATATATCATGGTATATCATAGTATAGCAGAGCGGACCGTGACCGTGACTGCGACCGAATCATGTATGGAAACCCAATGCAGCCAATTCTCCCAATTCTCCCATTTCCCCTAATTTATCTTATCCATCAATAGATTTATCAATCAATCAATCAATCAATCAGCATCCATTCGAGTCTATACATCATACTACACTATATGATATTACACAACTCATACATCCCACCACATCACACCACATATCAAAACCCCACCGTGATCAAACCACCCTTCAAACTTCAAACTTCAAACCTCAACCATCAATAAAAATCATACTTTCGACCATACATATCATGCCGCCCATGAAACCAGGTTATAAACTTATAATTAGCCTACTGCAGATTTGAAAATATTAGGAAGAGGAGCCCTCAGACCGGGGGTATCTTAAAATCCAAGCCGCTCCTGCTGTGCTAAATTTGACTCTTGTACTATTACTTTGAGATGAGATGAGATAGGATGGGATGGGATATAGCTATTTTGAATACTACTAGTAGTATCGATCGATTTTGAATATGGGAAGTTTTACGATACGGTTTAAATCTATTGCTAGTACGTACTACGTAGTGCAATTGAAAATGTGAATGTCGAATGCGTACACTTTTATCTACATGAGATTAAGTTATCTCGAGATCTTTAACCTAGTAGATAATCCGAATTCGAATTCGAGGGTGTCTTTTATACGTCTCGAGACACGTTATATTATGGGACGAGATAATATACGATAAAACCTCATACTCATGGAGTACCGTTTAGAACAATAAGGTCATCCGATTCTATGCTCCGAGTCCCAATGATATATCCATCCACAATTGACATCTCCAAAAAACCAAATTATATAGTCAGCTCCTAGTCCTACAGATAATCTAAACATCTTGAAGATACATATATCCAATATCATGCGATCAACTCGAACACGGCATACTTGCTATATACAAACACACGATTTGGCTGCCCTTGTCCTGAATTATCGTGAATCATATGCTAACTAGCATGTAACTTTACAACTTGAGGAAGTATTGATTATATGTTGACTTTAACAGTTAATGCATATGAAGAACTAGAACTGAGGAGAAGACTGTGATCATAAGAATATCGATCACCAGGGAGCCCCGACGATGTCATCGGAGTCGCCGCTATCAACGACGGGTGATTCTTTTTGTACGAGCAAGCCGAACTAGTAGCCTGTCTGGTGCGGAAGTTTTTATCATGGGGTAGACAAGATATGTGATCGTTCGAACTGGCACGCTGCCGACCGAATACTATCCGTTCGGGTCTGCGGAGACGACCATCGGGTTGAAGAATAGTACTTTCAGAAAATTGTGACATTGAGGACTTAGGCCACATAATCGGAAGCATCAAGTCCCGATAACTTTGCTTGCCGTCTATTGGCTTCTAGACTAATATTTAGTGATAGTGTGAAAGGTTTCAAGTAGAACATTTGGTCATCATTCCACTTGAGAATCAGTCACGGGATCAAGAATTCCGTTCAATTGATGAACATGAAGAGTAACAGTTTCGATGGAAAGCGGGGAGGGAAGAAGTTCCGAAGATCGATGTGATATTGTGTAACTCTCCAACACGTAATAAAGGTGAGAGAATAAACTGCCATGCTACTAAAATAACTAAATAGACAAAAATCAATTCTTTGTACGAACCTACAGATCTCAGACCTCCAGATCTCGTGGCCAAAGTGGCTTATAACTTAATCTAGTGTGACTGAATACCAGATCATTGGAATAGATGGGATTTATACTGAAAAGCGTGCGACCTTGTGTTCTGTGGAACAAATAGAAATTACTCCTTCTAGCGAGTATGTACTGTAGCTGGAACGATCACTGCAATCCAAATGACGCGTATGTTTAAGGCTGAGGGTTCAGAGAACAAAAGAAAAAGCAGAACCCCGGCACAGAAACAACTGATCAGAACTATCTGGAGAGGTGATTGGTGTAAATATTGTAAAAGTCGATAGAAGTCATGAAACATTAGCCTTGTCGTCCCCTGGAGCATAACTTGTTCACGTAGTACAGCGATAGGATGCTGTCAGATCTCCCCAAAATGGTACAGATGACGATCGGTGGACTGCTTGATCTACGATCGACAGCCATACAACGATACGCCCGAACGGCTACAGATTCCGAGGCGGGCTATTAATTTAGGACATCTTCGAATGGGTAAAGATCTTCAATCTAATGCCAAATTTGCACCTCCTTGCCGTCCCTTGTCAGGTCAAGTGTGATCGAATTTGGATAGAGGATGTTTTCTTGTGAAGAATAGAAGGAATATAACGAAGCAATACCCGTGCATTTTGTATGAGTATCATTTGTTGTAATTCCAGACCTGGTTTTTTTGGGACCAACATACATTTATGTTCAGAGTGAGGTAAGTTCTAGAACCATAATTGGAACCAAGAACTGACATCATCCGGAGCGGGCCGAAGATATGTGTGTCAAGTCTCCATTCGGGTGGAACCCGAACAATAAGAAATTCTGTCATGCAGACAACTTGACACTTGATGACTTTCATAGATCGAAAAATGATAGATAAGATTCTTATGCAATATATCAACGGTGAACAATGTTGTGAAACTACATTGGTTTGTGTTGTACAAGAAGTGCAGCCTTTCCCCCATGATATATACTTTTGGTGGACAGCCACAACCACAACACTTGAGAGAATTCAGCTATCCACACTACTGTATATATCAGCCTGGTAGTCAAAAGTACCTGCACGACATACACGTGTGCTCAACTTACCGCTCGTACAGGTAGATGAACAAATTTACTTCGCGCATGCGGATGATGGGGAGTTTTCCGAAACCAAAAGCCATCTCAATGTCCAATGGACCGACCATTGGGTCTCGTATACCGAAGTACTACGGGTGTATGCAGATGAAAAGCAGTTGTATATGGTATTGGGCAAGCATCCGAGAATACGTTAAGGCCCTCAAGAAGCAGTTCATTGTCTGTAGATCAGTTCAACGTTGAGATGCTTCAATGTGTCGGAGGCCCCAAAGTTTCCTTGTTCGTAAATCATTTCAATATTGAAGTGCCGCGATAGCAAGAGACTTCGAGCACATAACTCGACAGAGGAGATCGAACTGAAAAGGTATTCTGGTGAAATTTGGGGGATGTAATCGGACCTGAGAAGAGAAGATAAGATAATCTCAAAGTTCTGGCTGGCCACCGGCTGATTTATCCGAATACGACTACTCGAGTACTTGTACAGTACCAAGTACATAAGTACCGACTTGACTGATAAGCAAAGCGCCTGTTGAGTGATCCTTAATAGAACCACCCTTATCCTAGTTGAGCTGCGTAGATTTTACATACAGCATCGACGAGTAAGGGATAAGAAAACTGCAAGTGCGAAACTGTCTTGAGACTGGTTATCAACCTTGATGTAGGCAGGCAGGTGGACTTGCAGGTCTGCAGCCTTCCTTCCTCGATGCTCCTTGACCGGCGGCCAATTACAAATTCACTGTTCAAGGAGTGCCCATATAGCTTTAATTCGTAACGTCATGGTCGTTGAACCATATTCAGAACCCCCCTCGTTTCATCCACTCGGGACTACTCAGTACTCGCTCGTAGAAAAAGTGTTTGTATCACTCCTTTCTAGTTACTGTTATACAGTTATACTCGAGCATGTACCGTATTGTACCATTGAATGTATCCATAAATGAGATGATATATGAGATAGGACGGAAGGGGGACGTAAGCTATTTAAAAGATAGGCAGAAAGAAAGATAATAATCAATGGAAGTACTCGAGGAGTACAGTCTCAGGTGGAGGAGGTGATAGATATGCGAGGTTCGTTCTAATCATCGACCACAAAGTAAGTAACCAAGTAACCAGCCTGTTCATTGCAGAGTAAACCGGGCCGAGAGATCCTAAAGAGAAAGTCTTCCTCGAATTACCCTCGAATTACCCTCGAAGCCCAAGGTGAGAATTGTACTCGGACTTTGTTACTGTACAGAGTACAGTACTCGTAGAAGGGCCCTACTCTGAGTACTTACTACTCACAATTTTCTCGCGAACCCTTCCTTCATTTTTCATTCTCATTCATTCCCTTTTTATTATTGTAACTTTATTTTTAATTCTTTTTAATAAATCATTTCCAAGTTCCAATTGACCAAACAGCTTTGATCTCTTCACACCTTTCACCTCCACTTCATACGTCTAGATGCAAGATGCAACCATGCATTGTACTCACACTCTCTCTTTCCTCTTCTGCTGCTCGTCATGAAAAATGTATAAGTACTCTACTGTACGCACCCGCCGGAACCGGTCTTTTTGAGATACTATGAGCTTCTCGACACAGGCGTCAATGACAACTCCTTCAATTCGGCATCACTGACTACCTCTCATCAAAAAAACAATATATTTCAGACGAAACATCATTTATATATGATTGCGATTCGAAACGTTGTTTTGTTAAGCTCCTCAGTCATAAACATCTGCGTTTATTCTATTGATACGGAGTTACATTACTTGTACAAACCGAAGTTTTGCATTCTTTTATAATTTGAGTCTTTGGCTTCTGGTAAATAAATCTCTCGTTGTACTTCTTCGAATACTCTTCGTACAATTGCTAATGCATGTCATCTTCGTAATAGAAAGGCAATGGCGTATCATTCCCATGCTGGGCCATCAAACCCGAATCTTCGACCTCCCCCTCCGCAATTTCAGCAAGGATCCGCAGGTTACGGTAATCCTCCCGATGGAGACGAAGCTCAGGAACCCGGTGGCTTTGATACCCTCAACTGGTATCGACATTACATGCTGTGCCATGAATACTTTCTCGACAGAGCTCAACATGATTACTATGTTCAAGCCGTAGCAGCCTTTATAAACATACAACTTCCGTTCCAAAGACAGCCATACCCAGTCAATCGAGCCTCAGCCTCGTGGTCTTTGAAGAATCTGACCGATCGTCCCCAGGAGCAAGATCACCCCCCCGGTTATCCACAGCCGGTTTCCCTAATCCCGTATATAAAACGATTGATTGTTACTGGTCATGATGATCATCGGATTCTGGGAACGTGGTTCGGGTCAGATTGGATTCAAGGAATAGGTACCATCCACGAGATGGAGCGACGCAATTATCTTTTCGCATCGAAGAGTAAAGAATGGCTCGACGTAAAGAAATACTACGATGATTCGCCAGCAGCGGAACAGTCAGTGCCTTATATGATCCCTCTTCCGCAAGTCAAAGAGGTCGAACTTCATCATGCAGATGAAGCCTGGAGTAGTTGGATGGCCATGCAAGACTGGGTAATTGGTCCCAGGGCCCCGGAAGGTCTGTTGCCGCCACCACGTTTACGCTCGCCGCACTACAACTCGCCACGGATCAAGAGGGAGAGTGATTTAGATGATTGAGAGCTACAATACAAATACGGATCGGTTAGGGATTATTCAGGGATCTCGACTCTGTCCTCACAGGAGTGTCGAGGTGATTTTACATGGCAATGCAATGAGAATAGGAGTTATAGATATCAAGGAATCCGGTAGGAACTCGAGGGTTGGGACATTTGTGTTCTTGGGCTTGTCGCAGGTCCTTCTCTACTGTCCTATATATTAGAATTAACATACACTTGGAAGAATCAATCCACTAATACCAAAATCATGGGTGCTGCTCATTGCAGTTTGAAATAGATATCAGATTAATCCAAGTTGAGAAGGCTGAACCCTTCGTGGACTAAGACGAGGCTGAGATAATATGGCTCGCTAATTGGTCGCCCCCGCACTTTACATGCATTATTAATATCAGTACCGGTAGTCCATTCACAACCATTAGCTGACCCTAAATAATTATAGATTCACTCACAAACATCCTTTCTTTACTATTATTATTATTATTATTCAACAAATTTGTATTCTTAACTTTATTTCTTAAATTCCTTAACCTAACTTAGAGGCCTTTGAGTTGTGTGCAAGACAGGTTTCATGGAATTTTACTAATTTATATTTGACTGTACAATTCAAAGATGACCGCACAGGTTGCCATCGAGAGCTGGCAGACGTTGCTGAACAATAGCCTTGCCTCGAGGCTTGACCCTGAACCTTTCACTGACTACATTCGCATCCTATCCTCGAGAAATCCACTACCGTCTTCCTATATATGCGAGATATTCCTACGGCCCGACAAATATAATGATACTGTTATCGATCCACGAGTATTACGTTATGTACAAATATTGTTAGCGGAGGGATTGGTTGATTGCGCCGGGATTCTTCGAGGTCTACTAAAATATTCCTCGCTTTGGAGTTATAGGCAAGATGGGCACATGCAAAACGAAGCCAATAATGGTGTGGAGAAGGATAAAAGAGTGAAGGAAGGGAATAAGAGGTGGAAAAAATCATATTCTGCCGAAGAGATGATGTTGTACCGGCTTGCGAAAACAGTTTCTACTGGTGTAAGGCCTAAGAATGTTCAAGAAGCAGTCGATTTACTGGTGGTATCTGTTCAATGGATGGATATGGTTGCTGTGGGTATGGGACAAGGGGCGCACGAAATATTGGATCTGGAGGCACATGTCGAGGAGATCGGGATGGTGGGCATGGCTTTGGGAACTCTGATGGTTGCCGTGGTTGGGAATGCAAAGATTCTAGGAGTTCTAGAAAAGGGTCGCTGCCCAAAAGGTAGGCTAGCTTTATGCTGATGTCTCAATACCACGACCCAGAGGCTTACGTTAATCAACAGGGACCGGAATGGACCTCGGAAAAGCTATGGCTGGGTTTGTTCCTCTGTTACTCCAGAGCTCCCCGCAGAATGCACAGCGGTTAGATGTTTTCCGAAACCAGACTCTGATCACGATTCTACCGGTCGACAAGAAAGAGCGAGCTGCCGATGCCGAGATTAATGAGATCTTAGATTCCACAATTGGGATGAACATTGACAGCATCGTGATTGACGATTTGCCAGTTGTCAACTCTCGAGCTGGTCTTTACATCTATTTGAATTCTCTTGTAAGCACATCCGTGTTAGAACGAGAATAAGTTATTTGTACTGACCATTGCAGCTTGTTGGTAGACCTCTTATTGACGATGACGCGATTTTTGCCTATTTACACAATAGATATCAGGTATGCCAACTTTGTTGTCCTGCAGAATCTTTACTTATCATTTCAAGGGAGATGTCCAATCGACGACAGTAGATCTTATACTTGCATCGTTTGATGTCTTGGCCAATGCAACCTTTCGAAACGAAGGGCAACAAACGACAACTATACTACGATCATTTTTGATCAATAAGGTTCCCTTGCTCGTTTCAACGCTTGCAGCATCCTTTTTTCCACCTCTCACTTCAGAATTTTGTATCACCGAAGCTTTAAGTCATGTTGATACTAATGCGTTTCCTACGCTTTCTACTCTATTTCAAGAGTCGAGTAACAACGACATGTTTTCAGATTCTGTCAGACAAGACTTCTGTTTCGCTTGCTGTTTACATGGCTTGATCCCAGAATCGAGTATCGAAACACTACTTGGCGATATACCTATGCAAAGTCTACCTGCTGGAGGAAGGTATTCTAAGCAGAATCTCGTCCAGCAATGTTTATCTGACTCAGAACGAGCCGAGGGGCTGATTTCAGAGTTGGAAAACATGGATGGAAATGCTGGTGCTGTTAGTCAAGCAATTGTAGAGGTATGTGACTCGGTTGACTCCCGTAACCACAATTAATCGTTGATAGGTCATCAAACACATGTGCGGCAACAAAGAAACAATGACATTAAAGACCTTGTGTAGTCAACTAGCACGTAATCCATCATCTTTGGATATCATGCTTCTATTTAATGAGCCTACATCGTTTCTGCAGCCTATCTGCGAGCTACTTGATAACTGGCGTTATGATGAAGACCAGGGAGAATATCAACCTGTTTACGAAGAGTTTGGATCGATATTACTTCTTGTTGTGTCGTTTACACATCGCTACAACCTTTCAACTGTTGACTTGGGAATCAAAAGCCCGGCGGAGTCATTCGTAGCAAAGCTACTTGTTCAAGGTCATCTGAGTCGAGCTTTGGAGCCATTAGCAGAGCAAGACCAAAATCATTTGGATGGTTGGATCAGAGGGCTATTTGAGCCAGAAGAAGGGGGCGGACTTGGTGATGATCTGATGTCATCTTGTCCACCACAAGAGTTCTACCTTTTGGTGCCCACTTTGTTTCACCATATCGTTCTCGCACTCAGTACGGAGACTCTTTCGGAAGATGGTTTAAAAGGTGGCCTGGAATTTATGGTCGAACCCTTTCTACTACCTTCTCTGATACCGGGCATCACATGGCTCTCGGCTCATCTCTGGGAGGCACGTCCTCAAGCCACTTACATTCTTCAGATTCTGTCGGCTCTAATCAAAAATCCCCCGTCCATTTCGAACAACATGGAAGCGTCCCACCTGCTCAACTCAATCCTCAAGATCGTGGCCAAGAATCTTGAGCAAAGTCTTCGATGGCTGCAACGGGCGGAACCCCAACGTCATGACATCGAACCAGTATCAAAAGCACTGGAGTCAAATCTAGGTTGGGAACGAAGAGGTGCTAGTAAGCACACCGAGTTAGAATCATGGACGGCAACAGCTGGGGGTGGACTGGCTGCTAGTATCAAACAAACTATTGCTACCCTCGTTCAATGCGGCCTTCAATGGGGCCGCAACCCTGGTATGCATATCATGCCAGCATCATATACACATCGACAGATTTTGACCGGAATGAAAATGCTCGGTGCAAAAAGGTTACTGAGTACTATTGTTGACGAAGTGAAAACACAAACCGAAGCGGGTAATGGAAGCGTAGTATTTGACATCGCCATTTCGTTGATCTGCGCTCCAGACGCTACAAGTTTTGTCTCGAGCCCAGGAATAGATATTTTGAGTGGCAACGCACCACAGCCGCTCCAACGTCGATTGACTTTGAGGGAAGCTTTGAAGGCAGAAGCAAAAAACATGCCGAGAGTTCTCAAGACTGATACTTTTCATGCGGAGACTGTCATCAGGTTATATAGGAGAGTTGAAGCACAACTAGCCATCCAACAACAATTACTACAGCATGATGACGGTCTGGGTGCTTTGAATGAAGTTATGGGAGATGCAGGTTTAGGACCAGCCGATCAACCAAGTCTCAGTATTGATGACATGGGCGCCGGTGGTGAGGAGTTGATGATGATGGGTGGAAGCGGCCATAGTGGCGATCTACTGGATGCTTTTGGGGGTGATGGTCTGGGAGATGGAATGGGATTTTAGATGTCTAATCTTGCATGGTTTTGGGAAAGGGTAATGGGAAAGGGGAAAGGAATATTTCGGATCTACAAAATCGTGAGCATTTGTGTTCTATGTCGTATATATTGCTGAGGAGATTATCATGCCGGGTTACTATTATTAACGATTATGACATCTACATACGAGAATTTAAGTACAACTCAAATGTTAATTAGTAACGTGCCTCTGTGCCTCGGATATGCTGCACTATGAACCAAAAAAATAAAATGTGAAAACAGCTCTGTAGCGAAGGGGGACAATCACGTGGATCTGCGATTATCTTATCTCCGGCAGCAGGGATTAGCGTGACGCTAAGATAATGAGAAAATTGTTTTTCGATATCGAATTCTTGAATCAAGAGAAGAAGAGGTAACTACGCATTTCGCGCAATAATATAAACCACTTTACAACAATGGTTGCCAAAAAGAGAAAGGCCTCTAGGCAGATGCCCAAAAGCGACAAACAGGATTTCGACAAGTCTAAAGGCAAAGTGGCCTTCAATTCATACGAAGATATCGCGGACTCAGAGGATGAATTTCATATCAACAGAGACAAAGTACTGTTGGACCAGGAACCTCATGCCAAACGTCAGAGAAAGTCAAGAGATGAAGGTCAGATCAATTGAAAATGTTGGACTTTACAGCGACTGATAGCTTTTCCAGATGAATTAATTGAGCAGTCGGACGAGGAAATCTTAGGTTACTCGGAGGAGAGTTCAGAGGAAGAGGAAGAGGTCGAAGCTCCAAAATCGAAGAAGAAGTCCAAGGCGAAACTATCGGATGATGAGGGCGCCGAAGAGGAAGAAAACGAGGATGCTGAGGGATGGGGATCTTCGAAACGCGATTACTACGATGCGGATAATATCGAGACGGAAGCGGATGCCCTGGAGGAAGAAGCAGAGGCTAAACGATTACAACAGAAAAAGCTACAGAAGATGTCAGAAGCCGATTTTGGCTTCGATGAGAATGAATGGCTAGGCGAAGGAGGTGACGAGGAAGAGGGAGATGTGGTGACAGAAGTTTTGAAGGATGTGGAGATTACAGAAGATATGGGTCCGGAAGAAAGGTTGAGGATACTACAAACGAGATATCCGGAATTCGAATTTCTGGCAAACGAGTTTGTAGGACTACAACCCATTCTTCAAGACCTACAAAAAGAAGTAGACGAAATGTCCGAAGATGCAATCGAGGCGATGCCTATCCCAGTTGTGAAGGCCAGGGCCTTGGCAGCTTATTTGGCAGCCTTGACCATGTATTTTGCGATTCTCACCTCTCCGGCAAAAGATGGCAAAGGCCAAGGGAAGACTATTGATCCATTAGAGTTGAGAGATCACGCTGTTATGGACAGTCTACTGCAATGTCGGGAGTTATGGTTGAAGGTCAAATCAATTGAAGTTGCAGAGGTGGAAGACAGCTCGGAAGACGAATCAATGGACAACCTGGAGGATGCAATCATGGCAGAAGAGGAGATGGAGACAATCCGACCAACGAAGAAATCTAGGAAGGAATTGGCTCGTGCTACGGCATCTGAAATGGCCGCTGCAAAACGCAGTAGACAAATACAGGAAGCAGAAGATGACTTGGCGGATCTCGATAATCTCGTATCCAGATCCAAGAAATCAAAGAAGGCATCGAGAGCCGTTGTTGAGGCAGATGACGATTCCGATTTTGGTGAAGAAGAATCTATGGATGCTAAGGCTGCGGAAGAGAAGGCCAAGAGGAAGAAGTCACTCAAATTTTACACGTCTCAAATTGCTCAGAAATCGAATAGAAGAGCCGATGCTGGAAGGGGAGCTGGTGGTGATGAGGATCTACCTTACAGGGAAAGACTCCGAGATCGCCAGGCACGACTCAACGTTGAGGCCGAGAAACGTGGAAAGAAATTGGACGAATATGGACGAGGCACGGCTCTTGGTGGAGATAGTGATGACGATGACCAGGCTGTTGCTGGCGAAGTTCGGGATAATGGAGACGAGTATTATGATATGGTCGCACAGACATCGAAGAACCGCAAGGATGACAAAGATGCGAAATATGCAGCGATTGTAGAAGCGAAGAAAGCAGGGAAGTTGGCGAGAGTGGTAGAAGTGGAGAACGATGAAGATGGCAAGAGAGCTATTGGATATGTTATTGAAAAGAACAAGGGATTGGCGCCAAAGAGGAAGAAGGAAGTCAGAAATCCCAGAGTCAAGAAGAGGATGAAGTATGAAGAGAAGAAGAAGAAGTTGGGAAGTATGCGGGCTGTGTACAAGGGTGGAGAAGAGAAAGGTGGTTACGGTGGTGAGAAGACCGGTATCAAGACCGGCTTGGTTAAGAGTAGAAAGTTGTAGGATATTAGCAAAGCGTGGTACCAAAACGACGAAACGCCTTGGCAGGTGGGAAATTGGTGTTCTTACGGTCGATACCTCGGATTAAAAGTGGTTGTACAAATTTCACATGTTTCCATCTACGATATTGAAAGCTCTTCGATATCTTTTTCTTGGGATTGTATGTAACGCAGAGGCGTTGAAATGTCTCGGCTCCGGATGTTGCAGTACTCCCTAATATACAGAAAATACCCTACTGAATGACTAGTGAATTCAAATACTGGGCAGAAGTCCGCACCTCCAGACTTTTCTCGATGAATTTCCAATGGTTGCGGATGGCCTATTTCCCGCTCACCTGTCCAATCTTGCGAACGCAAATCCTATCAGATGCATATATATCGGAGTACTTGTTCCTTCTTTATTTTACACAGTAGTTGGAGTAAGCATATAAGGCCTTCTTCTTGGTCGTTCGTTCCAATGTGATTGAAAAACGTGTTGATTTCTGATATAATGCTTTCCTGGATATCCTTTTTGGTTGGCTTGCTTTGTTTGGGAATGTGTGATGCAGGACCGGTAATTTTGCAAAGAGATTCTCGTCCTGAGGGTGATTGCTGCAATTCGGCAAGTTGTTCTGATTCCGTATCGTAGTTGACTAATAGCTCTTCATTCGAGAAAATTCTAATTCTTCTGCAGTGAGTACATTTCTCTATAAATCTCTTGGGATTGTCTCGATTGAGATCCTTCACGCTCATCAAAACATCTCTTACTCCATCTGCTTAAACAGATGATGCTAATTTCCTCATGTATAGGTTAGGACAGTGTGACTTTGAGTCTGCAAATTGTACGAAAGGTCCTGCTTCGCATCACTTCTCAAACCGTCGCGATGTAGCGCAATGTGGTAGGAGTGCTCCACAAGGAAGCCAAGTATGTCCTTTGAATACTTGCTGTAGCGGTAACGGATACTGCGGGGTACGTACTCCCTATCCTTGCATTTATTTGCACATAATCATCTATGCAAGGTAAATAACCTCACAAAACCCACCCACTAACCACCAACACCACATCACAGACCACCTCCGCCTACTGCATCAACGCCGACCCCATCAACAACAACGCCCCCTGCCAAAGAGGCTACGGCGCCTGCGGCCTCATCAACTTCCCCAACTGCGCCGGCAGCAGCACCGCATCCCACGGTCGCAAAGTCGCCTATTGGCAAACGGGCAGCGCAACCCGTATCTGCAACGCCCTACCCATCTCTCTGGTCCAAACGCAAGATCTATCCCATCTCATCTTCGCCTTCATGTCCATCTCGCCTAGCACATACAAAGTGATCCCGTTCGATAACAGCGTCGTATCTCTCATGTATCCCTTCACGGCTCTGGCGTCCACGACGCTCGCAACGTATATGGGGGTTGGAGGGGGTGGATCAACAGGGTTGGCGGGCACGTGGTCGCTGATGGTGGGGAGTCAGGGGACTCGTGCGACTTTTATTAGGAGTGTGCAGGATTGGTTGCTGACGTTTGGGTTTCAGGGCGTGGATTTGGATTGGGAGTTTCCGGGGTCGGTGCAGGATCGCGATGGGTTTGTTTTGTTGGTGAGGGAGATGAGGGAGATTTTTGATGCGAATTATGGGGGGAGGAATTGGGGGATTAGTGTTGTTTTGTTCGTATTTTCTTTTTTCTTTTTTCGCCCCGTTCTTGGAAGATGACTCCTTCCTTTCCTCTCCTCTCCTCTCCTTTCTTCAAATCAAACCCCATAAACTCACCCCCAACCCCAAACCCTAGACCCCCCGATATATCCACCCTCCAATACTTCGACCCCATCAACCTAGAGCCCGTCACCAATTTCTTCAACTTCATGTCCTACGACCTGCACGGCCCCTGGGAAGCCTCCAATCCCTCTCTCGGCGCATACATCCGTCCCCAGACTTCTCTTTTGGATATCGCGTCTGCGCTTGCGCCGCTCTGGTTCGCGGGGGTTGATCCGCAGAAAGTTAATTTGGGTCTGGCGGCTTATGGGCGCGGGTATGTTTTGAGTGAGAGTGTGGGTGGGAGTGGGGGAGAGGGGTGTGATGGAGTGGGTTGTCCGTATGTAGGGCCTAGTTTGTCGGGACCTTGTACGAGGGAGAGTGGCGTGTTGAGTTTGCGTGAGATTGAGGTGTTGGTGGGGAGGGAGAATTTGGGGGTTTCGTGGGTGGGGGGTGGAGGAGAGGGGACGGCGACAGGGGAGCAGGAAGTGGCGGTTAAACAGTTTGTTTTTGGGGGTGGGAAGCAGTGGATGGGGTTTGATGATGAGGAGAGTTGGGGGTTGAAGAGGGGGTTTGCTGATCGTTTGTGTATGGGGGGAACGGTGGTTTGGAGTTTGGATTTACAGGGGGTGGGGAGGTGAGTGTTTTTTTGTTTTCTTTTTTTTACTTGTTTCTTGGGGGGTTCCTTTTATGTGAAAGTTTTTACGGGGGTATGCAATGAATGCTATCGGTACTGATATGTTGGTTTTAATATAGTGGAGATGGAACTTTTGGGCCGGGATTCTAGGGTATGAGATGATATGGTATAGTGAGATGAGAATGGAGGTGAGCGTAGAGGGGAATTTATTCACGGGGCGACATGATAACATCTCCTTAACACGGTACCTACTACTGTAGCCATACCTATACTCAATACCTCACCTCTACATAAAGAAGAGCAGGGCACAATCACAATCACAATCACAAGTACAAGCACAAATGATGTATAAACAACTGTTTTTGAAATCAAATCAATTATTATACCATACTCATATCATTCAATCTATTCATACCAATCTATCCAATCCAACCATTTCATCTATCCGTCTATCTCCCCTACCCGAGTATTCGAGTACGATTACGAGTACATATAAGCATAAATGCTCTGGTACCTATATATAACACCAAGACATAATACCATTCTATAACACCATTCCTTGATATACTCGAATATAACTACAACTACTCACCTACCTAAAGAATCGTTTTCCACAACTCCATAACTGAACTGGCATACTCAACTAGCATACTCAACTAGCATACTAATACCACAGTACTAACTAACCCTACACTAATATGACTCCAGTTATACTCAATAATTACCTATGAACTATTCGTACTATTTCAACATAATACTACACAGTATAACCATCCCATTCAAAATTCATCCCATCCCATTCATTCCACTCCTAAAACTACTATATCATCTTCCTATATATCCTTTAACACACACCTTACACCCTCACTCCCTCACTCCCTTCTCCCCCCTATCCTCACTTCCTTCTTTCTCCCATTCTATTCCCCTCCCCTTGACGAGTTTTCATTGCCGGTACTAGAGTAGTTAGTTGGTATATTATATTGGCTCCTTGAATAGAAGCCTACATGGCTACACTACAGATCACTGGCGGGAGATTCCTTTTTCTTTCTCTGTTCCTTCAGTGTAAATAGAGCAAAGGATTTCGACAAAACTATTGTATTCTCAACTTCCTCTCTATTTGTGTCATTACTCCTTTTCGTTTCATAACTAATGTACAGCAGTCCAATTATCATTCCCTAACCATACCATTCCATTTCATTCGCATAACTTAATAGCCCCATCTCAATTAATCATCACATCTCATCATTAATCCCATCATCTCATCTCATCTCGTTTCACACACCATATATCCCCATTCTTACCTCTTCTCCACTCCCACCTCTAATTCTTATAATCAATCTTCGTACCAAAAGCCTTTTCAAACCCCGTCAACGTAACCCGATATCTAACATCATTAATCTTAACCTTCTCCACCGCCTTCTTACACCCCTCTTCACTAATATCAATCGTCTCAATCATAGGCTTAATCTTCTTATCCGCCGCCAATTGCAACATAGCTTGAGCCTCTTTACGAGATCCGATATGTGATGCACCGATCTTGCAACCATTGCTGACGAAATCTTGAGCCATTAATTGAGGAAGTGGCTTATCTGGAAGACCGACATTATGAAATTCTCCATTGACGGCGAGGGTAGACATGTAGGATGCGAGGTCGAATTCATTCGTCATGTCTGCACAATTGAGGATGAAGTTAAAGGTGAAAGCGAGTGGTTTGGCCCAATCCTTCTCTTGAGTGGAAACGAAATGATCAGCTCCCAATTTGACAGCCGTTTCTTTCTTGTCAGGGCTGTGGGATAATGCCCAGACTTCAGCACCCAAGGCCTTGGCCCAGAGAAGACCAAAGTGACCCAGTCCACCAATACCAAGAATTGCCACTTTCTTGCCTGGTCCAGTGCCAGCACGGACAAGAGGTGAGTATGTGGTAAGACCGGCACACATCATTGGTGCTGCATCATTAGAAGCAAGTCCATCTGGAACCTTGAAAACGAATTGTTCATGAACTCTCGAATGACTGGAATAACCTCCTTGTGAGAAGATTTGATTTCCTTTGCTGTCTTTCATGGGTTTATCACTGTGGCCTTCGTCCTCCTTGTAAGGTGCCATATAGGTATCAACCATGTCGGGACAGTAATTCTCGTTATCACTCTTGCATTGTGGACACCGCATGCAGGATTGTACTTGGGCACCTACTCCCACGCGATCGCCGGGCTTGACCAATGTTACTTTGGAGCCAACTCGAAGGACTTTGCCTATGATCTCGTGGCCAACACAGAGAGGAGTTGTTGCTAGATCTCCCCATCCACCAGTGATGGTGTGAACATCGGAACCGCAGACTCCGCAGCACTACATTAGATTGGGGAATCAGTAATTGCTTATTAGGAATAGGGTATGGGAAGAGGGGTGTAATCAAAGCTACATCGGGGAATGAAGATAGATGAGACGAAGAAGAGAAAAACGTCAGTGAATCAATAACTAACCTCATTAACGATATCAACATCATGCGCTTCGAAAGTCTTAGCTGGAAACTATAATTCTCGTTAGTAACAATAAACAATGATATCGTATCTCCAAAATCCGGATTGCAGTCCTGATCTGAAAGCTGTTCAACATGATCCAATGCCGATGCCAATGCTCGAAGTAAATTTGAGGTCCATTTGACTTGAATGTTTCAACCAGAACCAACAATCTGAATGGATTCAATGGATCAGATGACTTTGATCAGATATCTCCAAGCCATCCCATGTTCTTCATCCTCGAATCAGAACCCCCTCATCATCAAACTGCCAGTGCAATCCCAATCCGCACCATTGAAACTCTAAAGTGAACATGTATGTAAATGAAATTGTATCCTCTACTTTTTATTGCATACCTTAGTCTTGGAGAAATCACTCCATTTCTTACTCGAGGCAATAGTAAATCCCTCGATTTGTTCGGGAACAGTGGTTGACATTTTCGAGGTGGATGTTTTGTTTGATTTGTGGAAAGATTGATGTTCTGTAGCAGGGAGATTGGTCTTCTACAAGATCGTTGGAGAGTGAGTGCTGTGTTTATTGTAGTATTCAAGCTTGAGAAGTTTTGTGGCGTTGTGGTGTTGTGTATGGTTTTGTTGTTTACTCAACGTATGATTTTCTAATGTTTTCCTGATGTTAAACAAATGCGAGATTGACTTCTTATAGCATTTATATTTCCAAGATTCGAGTATTCAGTAAACAATGAAAAGATCTTATGAAGGCAGGTACATACCTACCTGGCCACCCTATCTACACCCACTCATCCATATGCAGCCAGCCATCCCAAAGGGACAGGAGAGAGTGTGAGTAATCAGCATCCAGCTTTCGAGTGAGGTCATACCTACTAGGTACTTTCCATACCAGCAACTACTATGGTATGATGGTATTGTAAATGTAAAGGGGGAAAGAGCCAATTAGCATGGGAAAGAGCAGATTACCATGTACTCGTACAGTACGAGTAGTAGTTAACAAAACAATGGAATAATTGTATAACATAAAATAACAATATAACCTATACATAGACCAGAACCCATGAAACAATAAATTCAATTATCATTTAATTTCCATGACGCTCCGCTAGCCCTCCGGGGGGCCACTGCCGTGGAGGCTGATGATTCGAAATTCGAGAAGAAAGGGACCAAATCTAATTGAATTCTAGAACAAAGTCTAATGAGTCTAATACAAAAGTAAAGTTTCTATTCATTGCCAAGAAATATCTAGGTCGTGAATCCCGTATCCAAAACATACTTTAATCAAAATCATCGAATCTTGGAATAACTTACTCCAGATTCAGAGTCCATACATTCTTTAGGAGTGATAAGATAACCGGTTAATCGACGTCATGTTGTGATAAAGAAGTGAAGTGGGTAGCGGTATGGTGAAAATGGTGACGTGCGTGAATCGCTTGTATAGACCGTAGCTAGCTACTAGCTACTAGCTCCTAGCTATTAGATACAGCAAATGTTAGGTATGTACCGGTAATAATAAGTACTATGAGATATCTAGGTAAGTGTTCTTTCTTTATGCTCAATTGGGAATCTTTGTATGGAAGGAAAGGTACAGTCATGAAGAGAAGAGAAGAGAAGAGAATGGAGATAGTTTGAAATCTGCGTTTGAAGAAGGCAGGTACATAGATCTTTTTCCTTCTCGCTAATAATCAAGGGCTTTTTCCTACCTACTGATATTATTAATAGGCTGAAGATATTCAATACCTTATCTTCTACTGCCGTTGAAGATCTATATTAATTTGAAAACCCTGCAACAATATCGACATTGTAATCCTCCCTCTGCATCCCTTCTCCTATCCCAAAATCTCGACTTATTCAAGAACATTCAAAAATCTTCATTGTGTATATTCAATATATACCAACACACACTAGTATTCGTCCTCATACATCCATATCACCAAATTAAATGCCTCACATGCCAATTATCCAGATCATTCATCACCACACAAAACTGGTACACGCTCCTTTCGTTCGGTTACGATCGGCAATCACTATTCAGTAATTGTAAGTCAAAGACACAAGACGGACCAGTAATGTTTTTTTTTGAATAGATATATAAAAAACTATCTAGATATCTCCACTACACCGAATGAGTCGAGTCGTGTGAGCTATTTTGCTGAGGCTGGTAAGGATAGGGATGAGATATTTTTCCTCTCTGTTTTCGAGATACACCACACCGGTACCTACTTGTGCACACCCATCATTCACATCCATCACAACAAGCGTTGACCAATTCCCCAATTCCTCACGTTCCCGCTATATCCATCATAACCGATGATCAGCAACACCACAGCCCAGGCACAGTACCGGTACAAGCCGTTTCCTTCTATTCGGCGCGATCATAGCGTTTCTTTTCTTAACCCCTAACCTCCATCTCCATCTCCATATTTTCTCTTCCCTTCCGCCTTTTGCGGAGATGTGGGAGGTGGGATGCCCAGTCTTGGTATCCTTGATTTTGTCTTGTTAGGAAAGGTGGGATTTCTTGGAATGGGATTATGCTTGTTGAAGCAATGTTTGGAATTTGATTGGGTGATACTTTTTTTGAGTACTTCGAAATTGAGTGGCTGGCTAGGGAATTTGAGTTTCGTGGGGTTAGTTGGATTTCTTAGATGATTTATTAAGAGCCAGAGGAAGAGGAAGAGGAAGTGTAAGAGGAAGATTTATTGAGATACTAAGATAATGAGATATGACCTTTATAATGAATGTGAGGAATTATAATAATGACTTTGGTACTCGGTACTTGCTCAGTACTTGGATTTTAATCATTATAGTATTTAGATTTAGATACTAATAGAAGTTTGATCCTTTAATAAATCTTAGATGCTAGGAATCTTCTTTAGTAGTAGTGTCATTTTCAACTTCCTTCTACTCATTACTCGAGTATAGTATAATAAGTCGTCTCTTATTTTGATCATATCATGATTTCTACTCGTAGTTTGATATATTAATTAATACTAATATATTCGTTCACATGTCAACCCGACCCCCTTCATTTCTCGTCTACCACTCAGTACAACTCTGTGTCAATCAATCTTCACGTGCTTCCTTCCCCGTACTCTCAAAAAGTACTTAGCCAATAACTTTTCTTGTCCCACACAACTTCAACTTACCAGTACTACCGGTATCACAATCACAATGGATCCGATATCTTTGAATTTATTTCAATCCGCTGTGAACAGCGACAATCAATTCAATTTGCTAAAGGAAAATGTCGTAAATCCTTCCGAGATCCAATCATCACAACCACAACCACAACCACAACCGCAATCCCCGAGCGCCAATCCGAAAAAGAGGAAACCATCAGATGGAAATGGAGAATCAACAATTTCCGAGAAAAAGAAACGTTCTTCAATCGCATGTATAAATTGTAGGAGTCGAAAAGTACGGTGCGATGTGGAGCGTAGTCAGCGCGTCAATGACGGTGGACAAAAAGTATGCAATAATTGCGTTATTGATGGAATACAATGTCTAGTACCTGGAAGTAAAAGGAGAAGGTTAGTCATAAGAGCCTATGAAGCTTCCAACTCCAATAATGTGTACTTGATTGACATAAACAATAAGCAGAGCCAAACGAGATAGTATCGACCTCGTTCAACCAGCTTCCCATCAAGTCCATGCAGAGGGTTCACTTAGCACGCAACATATATCAAACGAAGATGAATTGAGACGACTCACTGGAGCTAGCATTGCAATCTCACCTCAACACATACCTTCACATATACCTCAACTTACATCTCAACATGTTCCTCTTTCAATATGTAAGCAGGAGCTCTATTGGAACGCGGTCTGCGCGTTATCGACATACTAACAGTACCAGACCAGGGAGCCCTTGATGGCAGAGAAAACACTGATTTTAATGGGCATACCCTCGCACAACTTACACATAGTGCTTCGTTGATTGGTGATCTGACTCGCACGAACTTAACGTCCTCTCCGCCTCCTTCGTTAAAACACTCGCTTCCGGCATACATCAACCCCCTTCCCTCAAAAATGACATCTGCCGATATCAATTATCTCTGGGCAAAAAGCGCATTGATTATACCGGCACCTCCTCTACGAAACGCCTTGCTCCAAGCCTTTATCGAATACGTTTATCCATTTATGCCGGTACTGGAATTACACAAAGTTTTAAACATAATCAACGATGAAGGGAAATCTGGATCAATGAGTCTCTTGCTTTTCCAATCTATTATGTTTTCTGGAACGGCTTTTGTGAATATGGATAGCCTGAGGCGCGCTGGATTTCAAACAAGGAAAGGAGCGAGAAAGGCGTACTTCCAAAAGGCCAGAGTACGTGCTGAATTTGCATGGAATACCTATCTTGGAGCGAGGCTGATGATATCCAGGTACTCTATGACTTGGACTACGAAACCGATATGCTTACTGTAGTGCAATCTCTCCTTCTCATGACATACTGGTACGAGACACCGGAGGATTACAAAGATACATGGCACTGGATGGGTAGGGCAATTGATCATGCATATACACTTGCGTTGCATCGGGACCCAAAATTTATGGACGCTGTTGATCACAAGTTGAGGAAACGAGTATGGTGGTCATGTTTTATGAGAGATCGACTCATCGCATTGGGTATGAGACGTCCGACTAGGGTCAAAGATGAAGATTGTGACGTGCCAATGTTGACTGAAGATGATTTCGAGATCAAAGCACTTTCCCCGCGGAATTCGATCATTTCTCCGGAATGTTCTTTGATCAGAGACGTTGGGGCGCAACGAGACTTGGCTCTTATGTGTATTTCAAAGGCACAATTGTGTTTGTGTATCAGCCAGGTCTTGATGGCGCAATATTCCGTCCTTGCAAGACAGGGTATGTCTACCGAAGTTGGAAGTACTACATCGAGTATTATGTTATTTCCTAAAAAATCGGAATCATCAGACGAGGTCGAAGGATGCGATCGGGCACTCGATAGCTGGAAGCATAGTCTTCCACAAGCATGTGTCTACTCGAACGAGTTGAAAATCGGCAATAGTGGGCGACCGTTATTTGTAGCATGTTCATTGCTACATATGATATACTTTACTACAACATCCGCCTTACACAGACCGCGAGTTTTACCTGTTAGTCCAAACCATCAACAGCCAGAAACGATTTTCGAACTTTCGCGTGAGGTAGTGACCAAAGCTGCTCTAGGGACTACGGAGATCGTTCGTGATATGCACAATCTTGATCTGGAGAGATACCTTCCCACGACGGGCGTCACAGCTCTACTTCCAGCTATCATTATTCATTTATTGTTGGTCAGATCTCAAAATCCGAGTGAGAAGCGGTCTGCTATAAATGGATTTTGTCTATGCATGACTGTTCTCGAAAGTTTACGGGACAACTATGCGTCAGCAGATTACGCGACTCAATTCTTGGAGGCGGCTGTTCGAAAAGCAGGCATGGAGAGTATCATAGGCGGTGCCAGAGTAGAGGCAAGACGTGAGGATGCTGAGCGTAGAGCGGTTTTAGCATATGAGAAGAAACAGGCCCAGCTTGAACGTCCCCGAACTTATATGGCTGAGAGGATTACACCACCAGTTGATACTCATTTACATGGATTTGAGTCTTTGGGGGCGCTCATTGATAACTCGACAGCGGTACACAATGGGCGCTTGGCTCACTCACCTCCCGATAGTGACGCTTTCCTTGGCGTAATGGGTTCAGGACTACCCCCAGACCCAAACGATATGTCCGAGTTTTTCAACTTTAACGAAGGCGGTGAATCGGCAGGATATTTTGATGATATGGATCTTTTTTCAAAAGATCTCCCTGGATTCGGTAGCAGGATGCCTAGCCCTCAACCTGAAGATAATATATCGCTCTTTGAACATTATGATATGAGCCTGTAGGCTAATGTTTGAATTTACGATGTGATGTTTTCTTTCACTTGGTTATTTGCATTTTGGGGAAAGGGAGTGACGTTCCTGACTTGGGCTTGGGTTATGGTGTATGGAAGGAAAATTGCCTCATAGGACAGCTTTTAATGTACTGTTGTACGACAATGGTGGCGTTGACTCGGATAGGCTTGACGGTATATAAGCACTTGGGTTTTGGGTTTTGGGTCTGAGGTTCTAAGGTATTATCGATGGTTACTATTCTCGTTATGCAAGACTTGAATGGATATTGGACCGGGACAAGATTTTAAATCATGATAATAATCCAACTTCTCGGGAATTAGGACTTGCTACTAGGAAATGACATACTTTCTTCGCTATGTTTGGTTTAGTTCGCGCTTGGTTACTGGTTGACTGATATCTTTATTTGTTCGGTTCGTGAAGGATAAGTGAGTGAGTAATAAAAGTGTGAGTGATAAATGATGGATGGGTCTGTTGTGTAATGGGTAGTTAACCGGAGAAAATGGGGTTTGTAAGTTTGTAAAGGGGTTTTCTGAGATCTGAAGTGGAGGGGACCCAAAAGCAACGGAAAAACAATGGAATGAAAATGATCCTTAGCAAATCCAAAGTCTAGGAGCCCAGAACTTTCTCTGTATTTGAACCATGAATGAGCTTTAGCCGAATAAGGAAAGTGAGATTAACTACCGGTATGCATTTACTATTTTGGGGATTAAATTCAGTATTAGGGACCGAGTAGTAAGTTACATCGTTAAGGCTCCTTGGGAGAAGGGTTTGATAGAGTAGCACAGATTCAATTGTGTGGTAGATCATTTTATCATTTGCTTCCAGTTGAATAAGCTTGTTCCTTCCATTGGTTGGTTGCTCATCCGCAAATCTGGGCTGGGGGCAACTTAACGGAGGGCGTTCTCATTCGGCACAAATTTTTTTTTACAAATGTATGTACAATTGCTTTCATGAGGGGGATAGTGGAGTTTATCCTGTGGGATGTGGTGATGTAGAGGTCTTGAGGGGAATCATCTAAACTTGGGTAGATTTATGTGAATCCCAATAGTAAGAGCAAATCCGATCGTACTTGTCACTTTTCAACACCCCAATGAATTCAAGGCTCGCCAGACCCTCTACTTCAAGGGCTATTGTGGGAATTTTAATATTCATCAAAAAATTATTGTTTACACACAATCTGGATCTAGTTCTTTCAAAAGCTAAATCTAAGTGTTTTTGACCTAAGTGTCACGGTCTTTTAGACGTTACTTTTGAGTTTGTTAACTTCACCCTAGCTTCAGAGTTTCTCGAAAGAAACGCAGCGATTGTGCAACTTGGAATCTGTGCATCATATTAGTGTACCTGATATGCTAAGAAGGGGTAGTCATAGCTAGGTGGCAATATTCGTTTTAACATGGATCTTCCACACCATCACGAAGTCATTCAAACTTGAGGATCTGGAAACAAGATTGGAAATCAAATTAGAAGTATTTCAACATTCTCCTTTGCTTGTGCAAAATTTGAACCCAGAGTGAATTCCATATAAGGATGATTTCGTGGCTCACGAGAATGATGAAACGTCTTACTCACTGCTTTTATATCCAGTGCTATAAATTATGGCACAAGGCAGCTCAAGAATATGTCATATCCCAAGAATCACCAAAGCATATGAGGGTTTGAAAATGTTACTTTTCCGAGCAGTCTCCCTGAATTTAGGTCTAAAGTTTTGAATATTACATAAGCTCAAAACACTTTTGTTACAAATTATCGAGCACAATTTAGAATGAGGAAATTCGAGGCAGTAATGCTAGCTGCACATGATTCGAAGGTCAAACTTCGACGTCTTTTCCACGATTCGTCTTCTACCGATTTCTTCACTCAGTATTTATTAAAGTCCTGATGTCTTTCTGTGATATTGAAAGTCTAGAATCGTTATACGATGGAGCCTCCGGAGACAAAGACGGACTGCGACCTGTCATATTCTGGACGGGAATCTGGGAGCAGTAAAATCTGAAAACTTTGCGTTTTGGAATGGTCTTCACCAACTCCGACGGGTATGACAATATATATGCGCCTCTCAGAAACTTCACTAGAAACTTCACACGGCTTTCATCAAGTCACTTACAACTTGATGAAGGTAGCGGAATCCAAACCCACATATGAATGTTTATGATAAGGATACTGTTTGAAGTATTGACGCTAATAAACAGGCTCGCATTTTGTATAATCTTCGTTTAGATCAAGAGCAGGAATGAACTTAGGGGAATCAACAGTCTGAAAACCTGGGGGCTTGACGAACTATCCGAGTAAGAGTGCTGGTTTAAACAGGATCTACGAATTTCAGGGCCATCTAGTCGTGATTGAAAGTTATGTAATGAAGCAGAAGAATAATATGAGAAGAATCTGGGGTTGCGACATTTTATGGTGTATAATTTGCAATATTCGTTCTCTCTTCACAACATATAATATTGACCAAGTAAAATATACAGGACCTTGTTTGTCATATGTGATTTAGTTGGTAAACGAGGTAAAACCTGTTCGGATCGGAGTAGAGTTAAAATCGTCTCTAATTCGGCAATGCTTTTGGGAAAAAGTCTTATCAAAGACAAAATATGAGCCTGTCCTCCTAAATAGTACGCATGGTCAAAAAACCTTATTTGAAAGAGATGATATATCAAATTCTTTACAACCTTACAATATTATACTTTTCCAGGAACCCCAGAGGAAGCAAAACCGTACTCGCCAAACTTGGCGAATTTCCCCCTTTTCGGTTCGTATCGCGAGGACAGCTTTCTCGTTAATTTTTACATTTCAAAGCAATTGTGGATACCACCTCCTTTTTAGTTTCTAGATTACCCAGTAATAACCCCGAATTTTTAGTCTTGCATCTTGTGATTTACACCTAAAATTCGCAGCGCTATTTCGAAGATTCGATATGAAGCTCGATATGAATACTCATAGAGCAAAGTAAGCAGTAAGCATTTAGTAACTCGATCTCACGAACATTTCATCAACCGTCATTAATAGACCAGAGAATATACGAGTAAAATTGTGAGATTGTTTTGTCCCGCAATTCTACGATGATGATCTACGGGTATTCTGCAGACCAGTTAAGACACAAAATTAATATCCCTTTTCTTCTTTCCATACATTCGTTACTAGCGACCATTATGTATTCCAGCAGTATGTAGATTGATCCACCCTCCAACGTTATTTCTGCGTATATACTTAGCAATCATGGTCATCCCAGTCCAGTCATGCTTCGGGAAAATGAATATGCAGTGCGCCGTGTCGAACTAACGGAGCACGACATGAAGCCTATGCAAGGAACCACGTTCTGGCCATCAAACCAGCAATGTTATTCCCTCTTCCTGTCGTGCTTACATCGTATAGTTCGGACTTGATAATATGTCGTGTTTTACCAGATGCTTTGGATCGAATCATCATCGGATAACTCAACCAACATCATACATCCCCACTCTGTCCTCCCTCCTCTCCCCATTTCCCCACAATCCTCTCATCCTCATCTATTCTCAATTTACCATCCTCGCCAATCCCCGTACTGTACAACTTCCCTCCCGCAATAATCCGCGCATCCCTCTCTTCTCTCTCAAGTAGCGCAAGTCCATCTACACTTCTCAACAAACTCGAATCATCCACTTCACCTGCCGGAGCCAGATACTCCAACCTCGCCGCAATCGTACAGAGTTTTTTCGGAAGACTCTTGATGTGATGACGGGGTCGAAAGAGAAGTATAATAACACCGATGATCATCAGCGAAATTATACCCATCGCCAGGTAAAAACATGTGAGGAGCACTAAACGTGTTTCCGTGATACTGTATGGTATGTTTGCGAGGGTTATGGGGAGAAATTCGGATAAGATGGAACAGAATGAAATCCAAGAGACGAGATAGTGTTTACGGCGCAGAGATGGGATGAGAGCTGAGTAGGGACTCATGTGTACGGGCGCCAAGATGGAGTTTTGAGGTTTGGCGTTGCAGCGGAGAAGTTGGTAGTAAGGATCCATTTTGCGGAGATCTGTGATTTAGTCGTCAGTTATTGTGGATGTCTGAGAGGCTTGGATTTTGATGTTTTGGAAACATACCTTCGTCAATACGAGACCAGAGAAGATTGGTACCTGTTCCGAGAGCCGTCATCAGGAATCGTACGCCGAAGCCTTGTGAATTCATAAACCGATTGAAACAGGTGTCGGCATTTGTATCGTAGTATGAAGCTACAACACCGAGAATACCGCATAGCAAACAAAATCCGCCAATGTGAACTAGTCGAATCTTGATTTCGTCCCATATTCTTGATAGGAATGTCTTCTTTGAGTCTTCTATTCTCTTCGTCCTTAAGAGAGCCGAATTCTGGGTAGTCCTGCCCATCTCTGCTTCGTGTGTTGAGAGAGATGTATAGCTTTGAATGGGAATGTTACCATTTCTTTCTTTTAAGCTCCACTGGCTATCATTGATTGCTTGAACTGAGATAGGGGTTTTCCGATACATGGCGGCCAACCCAACCAAGCCCCAACCAAGCTCAGCGGCTCATTGTATACTCCTGTATTCCGGCGTCGTCCTGCAAATATCAAAAATAATCTGAATAGTGCGATGGCGCCCAGTAAGCCTTCTAGCACCCGCGCAAAATCTGGATAGATTCCCCAACTATCGCATGTAGCGAGACCGGTTCCTTCGCAATAGTTGCTTTCGACTACAAACAAGATCTGAGAAGCAATTGGTGCGACCGCAAGCATGATAATGGATATTAGACTTGACACAAATACAGTAAAGTGTTTCCAAGCGATGGATTTGAAAGGGACGAGGAATGTTGATGTACTTTCGTAGTTAAGATGTATAGCCTCAGACTCTGTCGAATGGGAGAAAGGTCTGAGTTGATAGAAGGGCTCCATATATCGAACAGTGTTTTCCAGAATACGCCATGGAATTGCGTAGAATATAACCAGGAAGAGGGGTAAGAATGATGCGATAAGATACTGCCGATAGGAAATCTGAGGTGGTGCAGTGATAACACCGTTACTGTGGTAGACGAACGTTCCGCTTGAATTGGCACTTGTTGCTATTGGTTTGTTGATGATTGTATTGGAGCTAGTGGGGAAGACGGTGCTTTCATAAACACTTTTGAAGGTTGACACAATAACCAGCATGCTTGAGGAGGCCGGATTTGTCTCATTGGACATGGAGGCTGAGTAACTAGTTGTCGGGCTACTCTGAGGCACAATGCTTGGTGATGGTACTACACGTACTAGAGACGATGATGTGATTGTAGTTAATTCCACGAAGGTTCCATCAGGATCGCGAGAAGACGATGTGATTGTGATTACTTCAACAGTCGTGCTGTCCGGAGCTTGCTGGCTGCTCTTGGGTGTGGATGTGGTTGTGAGTTTTGTAGTTTCTGGTTCGTTGGGTGATAGTTCATTATTTGAGGTGGTAGGATTGGACACAGTGATAGTTGAAACGTAGTTACTAGTGATAGATACCAAAACTGGCGATGGTTTTGTCGTTGGAGCATCTATAGAGTTGTTGGTTAGTCGAGACATCTTTCTCGGGCCATCTGTAAAACTCATTTCGTAGACTTACTTGAAATAATCATTCAGGTGCACTGGTGCTATACTCTATCGAAGGTACTAATCATGAAGATATCTATTAGTCGACCGAAACAAAATCCTTGAGGTTTTGTAAATAATATTGCATGAGGCAGAAAAAGTGTGAGAACATACGGGTTTTGGAACCTGAGGTGGTAGTTCCTGGTATTAAGTATGTACCGGCTGTTTTCGTCGCCATAGTATATGTGGCATCATGTTACAGCGCAGGCACGGTGGAGCCGCTAGAAGTCAGATGTGTAGTAATGGGAGCGGTTGATACTGATATGGTTAACGGGCCCTCCGGAGTCAAATAAGAAGATCCAGAAGCAGTCAGAGGGATAGTCAAAGACGGATTGGTCGACTCAGGCGACTGAATACTTGACGTCAGGTATGTAGACTCAGCAGCAGATCCAGCAGAAGTCAACACCGGCGATATCGCAGTGGAAGCGGTCAATGCAATCGATATACTCTCTGATCTAGCAATCCTTTCTCGAGAAGGAGAATCATCTCTCTCATCTAATTTTGAACGAGTGATGTTAGCCAACGTTGCCGCTGTAGAACCAAATCCAGAGTGTTTTGGGATCACATGGCAGGAATATTCGAGCAACGCAATGAGTAGTAATGTGATGGCAAGCAATCCCGCGAGTGTTCCCGTTCTCGTCGCGACAGGCCTATAGTATTTAATCTTGCCGGATAATGCTACGGAAAAGTCAGTACCAAAAGTAATTGATTGTGATACGTGAAATATGAGAGTACTGTACGCACGATGACTTTGTCTACGAGTAAGTGAAAGCATTGCTGATTTTTAGACAATCTAGAAACTTTTGACATACAGTCTGTATCAAAAAGTAAGCTCCATAGACTTCAGGGCTATTTATGAGCCCCATATATTAATTAAGCAAGCAGCTTGGGACTCTTTCGGTCATTGGGAGATCTTCTATAATGATCTTGCTGGAATAAGGCACTCAAGGGGCCATTAACCTGCATCTTCGTACGATTCCAAAAAAGAATCGGTCTCCTCTTGTAGAACCCAGCGGCATGGTTTAAATCTATGCCAAGCGAGGCACAACAGATTTGGGGTCTTAGTTGTCAGATTTAAGAGGTTTCATGACATGTTGTGGTTCCTGAATTCTCAGCCAGGCTAAATTTGGAGCCTCTCTCCTGCCCAGCCTCGATGACAGGGGCTCCCGCGCACATCGATTGATCGGATGTGTTGCTACCAAGGCAATGGAGTCCGCACGGCTCCTGCAAGATGTGTTGTGAAGATCGGATCAAGATTTAAAGTCCCGCCTGAAGCAGAACTTTTAATGTTTGATAAATAGCTGGCCTTGAGAATGTGTATGGGAGGGGCCAATTGTCGACGCTAGCCGATTTAGGAATACTCGTATGTGATCCATTGGGACCTATTGCGGATTCAATTCCTACCTGCAAACTTTAGAAGATATCATAATCATGAATGCCATTACAGAAGGCAGAAACTTGTCGCGACAGTCTTGGATTCTTTACTGGTGAAGTGAATAAGAGCAAGCATGTGAAAAGGTAAATACGAAGTGAAAATTGGAAAGACAACAATCATCATTCACCCATCGTCATTCAATAGAAGTAATGCACATATGGTTTTGCTTGTTTCAATACTGATTGATGTTCTCGAAACTAACGCTTGCCCAAACTTCTAATGTGTCTGGGACAATAGATGCTCTCAAAAGCTGGGGTACAGATCAATGTTCCTTCCAGAGCTGAATAACATGATCCCGATCCAGGGCCCAACCATACCATGCCTCTACAACTCGTCCCTCGCTCTTTTCATCAGTCCTGCGAATGCCACCACAGGCGCATTCAAGCTGAATGTTCTTTTAACCTCCACCTTGATACATTCGTGGTAAGGAGTGGAAACGGGGTCAAGAAGCCAGTTCAGAAGGTAAACAGCCCTGTCTGCTAGCGACGGGCAGATATACCAATTGGGAGTTGGATAGGAAGATTTGTTAGGAATCGAAATCTTGTCATTTTCGATACGGCGCAGGATGTTATCATCATCAAAAGTAAATACTCCCACATCGAGAACAGGTTCATACAAAACTGGGGAGACGATAGGCCACTCAGGAGGAATGATAATGAGGTTGTCGCCATTGCCTGTCGTCAACCCGAACAACAGGATTTCTTGATCGGAATAGTCTGCAGCAGTAATGGAGATTTCGGAGGTGGCCTATATGAATACAAGTATGAGTACGAGAATCTCGACGATAGGCATTTACCTACCCAAGAGCTACCATCCATTTCCTCGAATTTGAATGCACAAAGACGTTTGCGTCCTCTGTCACTGCAACCCCACAAAAAAGACTCATTATGAGACTTATCGTCCGAAAGGATTTCGAGGCTGTACGGGGCGGGGCTATTCAGAGTATAACAACATGGAGAAAAACGTCTCATAAAAAGTCCAAAAAGGACGAGAAATTTCTGTTTGACTGAAACCATTATCGCAACTGTGATTAAGTGTATAAACGTTTTAAAATGTAAGCACAACTGTGCGTTGGTATGAATGTCGGTATGAATGCTGGTATGAATGTTGGTATGAATGGGTTGTATTTAGAAATGAAGAGGGAGTCGACCTTTGTACGTCTTTCAATTAAATTGCTCTTTCCCTGAGTTTTAGGCCAACCTCATGATAAACATCATTACTTGCGTCACTGCCTATCTCACGCAAGTTCTTAATACTGCAGCGTCACACTAATGGTGAAGACGGCCTCTTGTATCAACGCTTTGCGGTTCGCGCCTTCTGTTTATCGCTATTTGGAATCAATAATTCGGACTAAAACCAGTAAAGAAAATGGTCGCAAGTATCTATTCGCCAGCTTACAAGCCTTCGCTTTCCAACGCACCTCATATCTTACTTCCCGTTGCGGCTTTAAGAGTTGTCATTTTAAGGGTGATATACGGCATCATATGATTGCTGTTGTGGCATTATGAAAGGGAGTGTGAGAGGAGGTACCAATGGCATGGCATGGTGAATGCAATCAAAACATGGCAGATAGTTTGCTCTTAATATATACATATTTGTAACACCTCACTTGCTGGTACGGGCGACTTTCGCTCTAGGAATTGAAGTTTGTGACTGTGAAGTCGCAGGACTGGGGAAAGCTCGCATATGTAAATCGTGACTTCTCTTTGATCCACGAGTAACATATCGTCACCAAGGAAACCCTTCTAGACATGATGTACTTCAATGGCTATTTCAAAAGCCTTACGGTGGCAGAATCAATCACGGTCTTCATTTCCCATAGTATCTCTCGCGAACTGCGGCCACTTGCAAGGATATGTATGCGATTTTCAATTGAAAATGACTTTGCGGGTTCTAAAAAAGTGGGCAAGTGCGATTGAGGACTGAAGGGACTGAATGACTATTTCTGTGCCACTGCTAACCCATTTTTGAACTGCTTTTCGAGGAAACGTCATTACCAAAATAGATCAAGGAAGGCAATGCTACAGAATCGGCAATTTTCTTTCTGTACCAATCACTGTGTCGGCTATGACAGGCCATACCTTCTTTCATTAGGGAATTCTAGGCTGTGCTCTCCCTAAACCCTTATTTCCATAGCATTTCCTTTGTGGTGGTTGGCTGTAAAGCCACTTCCCGTTCCAGCTAGAGCAAGTAACATGAGCCTTCTGAAGAGAAATCATAGATCCATACGCCCAGTTAGCAGACTTCTGCTTATATTGACACCACGCCCAAGGAACAGATGAAGGGGAAATCGCGACCGAAATCGGTAGATCAAAACCGTGAAATCAACAAGTTATGGTTTCTCCTAGATCATACCAAATTTTCTAGTATTTGCATAAAAAAGTATTCGGAAGAGCCAAAATTTCCCTTTTGCTGAATGAGTACCGGTATAATTCTTTTTTCGTTAGGCATGCGGAGAGTGATATAAATTCGTGGATAGCAATTCCGACCACGCCCCTTTGCACTGACAAGGCAGAGTATACTGGATACAATCCATCTTAGTTGCTTTTCCATCTGGTTGTCCCATTTATGATACTGAATATCAAACAGTCTCTGGTTGAAACAAGGGCAAGCTGAGGGCTAGAGCTTCGTTCGTTGTAGGGTCTCAATTATCAGCTTGTTGAACGACCAAGTCAGACCTCCAATCGCTGATAAGGATATATCGTGTATAAAACCAGCGCGACGACAAGATTTAAAGAGGATTTGGACGTACAGAAAAGCTTCAAGTTCTGTACGAAGGAGATGATAAAGATGTAACAATTGTGTTTGTTTGTATTTCTGAATAGTTGAAGCTTTCAACATATTTCAGATATGGATGACTAAGCAGAACATGCACTAACCCCAACTGATTGACCTTCTTCTCGTTTGCAGCCAACTCCTATCTGTTTTGGTTTGGGGGCTGAAGATGGGTTTCTAAAGCTACGCCGCTCTCTTGCATTAAGGACTTTCTTTTTTTCTTTTCCACCAATCGATAATGCATAGCTACTGCAGCTGAAGAGCGACAAGGTTCGGTCACGATTATTTTCTGCCAGCCAGCCGAGTGGTGCGTGCGACGGTGCGACGACAAGCATCGGTACTGAGCAGGTCATGAACAACCAAAGTCCTGTCTGTGTTTTGAAGTCATGATACGAGGATTTACAAGCATTCCGTTGTTACACTCAAATCGCAGCCAGCCTTATCTGAGGTTCCTTTGCGGGGTTTTGACCAAAAACATGACACCATACATACATTTTCTTACTGTTCTTTTCCGAGTCCTTTCTTATATTCCTGCATACACACAATCAACACCACTTTCACTTCTACTGGATAAATTCATGAATATATTTGTGGCTCTTTTGATTCCTTCCGCCCCGAGTCGTTATGATTTGTTGGGTTCATTTCCAAAACCAATATGGTGTGGCAGAAACACCCAATCGGACAGGACTGCCAATTATCAGCCCATGCTTGTCATCGAACCCAAAATGGAAACTTTAGACGCTGAGATAGGTGCACTAGATGGATCCTCAGTGGGATGGATCTTCTTTGCTGTGCCAAATGCCCATCAGTGACAAAGCACTTTCCAATTTGAAAGATTGTCCATGTTTTAGTATCTTGTTATTTTCTTATCCAAGTGTTTTTGATATCTGTTCCTGGTTTTGCTGATTGTAAAGCTCAAGACGTGAGACTCGTAAGAGGCGTCCTTTCGACATCTATCCTTGTTGGGGTTCTCGTGGGAATAACGGCATGTGAAGACGAGGTGCTTCGCACATTGTACTGCGCATTCCTGCAACCAGAACTTCATGACCGCTCGATTCGAATGTCGAAAACCTTCTTTCTTGTTACAATCAGAATTTATGACACTATACTATAGCACAAAAACTGCCGTTCGCAAGCACAAAACTCGCGGGCCGATATCAATCTGCAGGCTGCAGCATCAGGTCTCACAAAGTTCATCGGACTAGCATACAACGCCAAAAATATCGCCATACGCCTGGTTCCCACATGGTGGTGTCGTACAACCATTCTGAAGATAGTGACTACCCCAGTAATATTAGCAGAATAATATCTTCCGAGCGACGAATGTGTGACATTAGTGAAGTCAAATACAAATCGCGAAAAGATGGCAAATCGAATAAACAAGATCGAGAATCAATACCCCGAAGGCATCCAGAAATGTGCAAACATTGTGGATGGGGATTGCTACCCCGCTGATAAAGTTTGCTATGGAGAATCCTGCTCGGCAACAATCACAGCCCAGGTTACAATGACGACGAAATTTCCAAAGTTATCATACCCAGGCATCGTGAAAAGGAAACTAGGTTCGAACCATTGGGATAAAATACATGAGGTAATTCAAGGACGGAAACGCGATGCTTCAGAGTGTCCGAGCGATTATCAATTATGCCCCAAGTCAATGAATGGAGGATGCTGTCCAAATAATCGATCTTGCGGTACTAGCAGCTGCTACCTCACCAGTGCCGCTTCTGCCTCAGCTTGTGGTGTGTCGGGATATACCGCCTGTGGAATTGATGATGGAGGTATGTTTTTATGGTACTCCAATTTCTTGTTGAGGCTCGTCTGATAATAATACAGGTGGATGTTGTCCAAATGGTTACTCATGCGCAACCGATGGATGTAGCGCTTCTCTCGGCGTATCGTACAGCGAAGCATGTGGAGCCAGTTCATATCTCTGTCCGGCCTCACTAAACTACGGATGTTGCAAAAACGGGATGGGCTGCGGGTTGAATGATTGCTATTCCACGGCAATATCGACTTTTACCTTGACCGAGACTTTTACCACGACAGGTAGCGATTTGCACCCACAAACCATTACCTCCACATTGATTACAGCGTCCACTCCAGCTTCACCATCGGTTGCGGCAAATACCTCAAAAGCGTCAGCCGTTCCCAAACTTACACCCACTGCAACTGCAATACCCAAGACAGAGGCAAGTAGTGGGAGTACATCAACAAGCAGTGGCCTCACAAAGCCAGAGATAGGTGGAATAATAGGCGTCGCGGCTTTCATTCTGGTATTTATTTTGATTGCCGCTTTCTGCATACTTAGTCGTCTAAAGAAGGCTACAAAAGCATACCAAGAAGCAAAGACACGAAGCGGATCCAGTGTTCCTCGATCACAAAGGCATCGTCCCTCATACCCATCACCATCCGATATGAGTTCGATATCATTTGATCCTCTACAGATGAGCACCTCAGAAATGACTCGCAGTGTCCGCAATAATTCTCACCCCGTCACCGAACCATTCTCATCCGAGCGACACGACGGCCCCGAAGTCGTTACCCCACCAACTTTCAACCCATACTCACCTTTTTCTCCCCATTCCTACCCAAACCGAGCACAAACCCACGCTCGCGGATACTACCCTGTCGCCACCTCGGATTCCGCCTACTCCCAAACATCCTCCGGCCACCGAAACCCCTCGGTAGAATATACCCCTCCTCTCCAACAACCTCAATCCTACTTTGACATCCCACCTCACCCACAATCCGAACTCCCCGATTTCCGCAACCAGAATCTACGACATGGTCATGATGTAAGTCCTATCCGTCGCCCATCGCATCATGGTCGTAATTGGAGCGATGCTAGTGATGTTAGTGCCTCATCTTCTAGTCCGCTCGTTGAACTCGACGCTGGAATAGATGGTGAATTGAAATTTTCGCTTGGAAAAGCCTGGAAGGTTTTGGGGTTGGGGAGTTGGAAGGGGAGGGTTTCTTCTAAGAGGAAACTTGAAGCGGAACAATTGTCTGGTTCGTCGACTAAAGATTCTCCGACTAATACCCTAGATCGGGATCTGAAAACTGTGCTGTCAAATGTGCCGGAGGAGGCGGGGAGTTTTGTAAATGAGCCGGATGATCATGTTGATGAGGAAATAAGGGTTCAAAGCAGACCGAGAAGTGGCGGTCAGGAGTCAAGGGCCTCGAGACCGAGGAGTGGACTTAGTAATGCGGAGTTGAGGGAAGCGAGTATTAAGAATGTAGTCAAGGCGAAATCGAGTAAGACGAAGGAAATCATGATTAGAAATTCGGGAGGTGCGGAGGGTGCGAGGGCTAGTGGGGGGAAGGGGAAGGGGAAGGGAAATGGGAAGGCGGAGGAGGCGGGGTTCTGAATATGGAGGGAGGTGGAGTACATATCATGCATGATGCGATGGTATGTATGGTTTAATGGAATGAATGATGGGTTTTGAATATAGTCATTTCATGGATGGAACCCAGACTCGGGTGTAATAATAAGTAAAAGGAATTTCGGATAGGAATACTTGAGTACAGTTTAATGGTATATTGTTAGAGATTAAAGTTTCGACTTGACCAAGAACGGGGCATACTAGTTAGTTTCTTTGGACGCAAATACGAATTTAGTGTAATTACTTCCCCTTCGAGGGATTATAGTGCAAATTCAACTTAGGTTTGGTTTGGTTCGGTTTGGCGGTAGACTAGACTATCGATCGAATGTATAGGTATGTATACCGTCGATTTAAACTATCGATTACTAGTAACGTGTACTCGAGTATATATCTAAACCATAGGGACTCACTCCCCCAGAGACCGCACCACTTGAGAACATCATACTGTATGTAACTAAAAGAATAACATATAATAACCACGATCAAAAGAAAAGTATTCAAGCATAATACAAGCAATACCGGGAGTTGCGACGGGAAAATAAAGTAGGTATACCAATTGACTTCTTCCCATCAAGTATAAATGGATTTGATTCAATATTCTCGCTTCTACTCATATAGTACGAATACAAATATATATATATATGTGGTATAGAAAACTCCCACCCGAGAACTCCCACCCAAAAATCAAGATAGTAAGAAACACCTACTCAGTAGATACCACACCTTTCTTTACCTTTGCATCTCATCTCCTTTTTTCCTATCTCGGCACAAGAATCAAGATATCGGTGCTAGAATTTCTTGGGCTTGCTTGCTGTGTACCAGGAGATATTGATACAGATGCGGATGTAGATGTGGTGGTGCTTTTGAGGGAAGATGAAGATGAAGAAGAAGAAGATGAAGAAGAAGAAGAAGAAGAAGAAGAAGAATGTTTGGAGTATTTTCTGGAGGGAAACTTGAGGTTATCGTCTGGGGCTGGTAATTCTTGACCCCCACTAGTTCTGAACTAGGATAAGAATTTAAGAATGGGATAACCACTTAGACAACCACTTAGAAGAGACGACCCCGAAATTCAGCACAGACATCCATAGATAAAACTTCTAGACAAACTCCGGAATCTTACCGGCGCTCTGCTGAATATTATAAAACCACCAAATGTTTTAAGTTAGATTGATACTTTTATACAGGATTTTCGGACGAGCAGGATTCTCTCGTCCGAAAGGATCTCTTGAATACTGATATGTCTAGCACATATGGAAGTAGATACTGGTATTCAGATGGATGAAGCGAAAAGTGGATGTGCCTATCAGATTCTAATAAGGTAGTACTGGTATTCTGATTTCCAAGGTGAGCTGACGGGCATAGCGAATACAGTCAGTTGGTGGGTGCTACAATGACTGTACGACTGGGCACCGAAACCCTCTTATATTGACATTGACTGGACCCTGTCCTGTGCTTTGCGATGAATGGATCTATGAATAAATAATATAAGGATATCCTCTTTCTTTCTTTCCATCCGAGGACAAACACGATATTACTTTGTGAACTTTGTGATATTTGGACACGATGAGATTTTTATGTTTACACGGCAAAGGCACATCTGCCGAGATATTTTCGATCCAATCTGGTATGATATCCTCTCGTCTCATCTTATCCCATGCCATCTCCCGCCCTACAACATTCCTACCACATTCACAAGCATAGCTATACTAACACAAACACCAGCAACATTTCGCCGTCTCTTACCCCCCTCCTACACCTTTGATTTCCTCGACGGTCCCTACACATCACCCCCAGCAGCCGGCGTATCACTATTTTTCCAGCCGCCCTACTACGCCTACTACCATTCCTCCGACCCCTCGGCGATCCGCGAATCCTATTCTTTCCTACAAGAACACATTGAGAAACAGGGTCCCTACGATGGCGTCATGTGTTTTTCACAAGGCTGTGCGCTCATCGCCGGATTTCTCCTCGATCACCAAGTTACGCGTCCACATCTGCCGTTACCATTCCATTGCGCCATTTTCATCTGTGGAGGTATGCCACTACCCATCATTGAAGAACTCGGACTTGAGATACCCCAAGAAGCTCGAGCACTAGAAACGCAATCTGTAAAAGAACTATTCGCCACAGCTGCCGCGGTCGAAACCGCGAAACCGGGAGATGATTATTGGAACACGAAGGCGGAGACATCATCGATATTGAATGTGGAAAATATCGATTTGGAAAATCCGTATAAGATAGAGGTGCCAGAAGGGTGGAGGATTCAAATACCGACGGTGCATGTTTATGGGGGGAAGGATCCGAGATGGTTGGCGAGTCTGAATTTGGCGAGGTTTTGTAGGGGAAGGAAGAGGGTTTGGGATCATGGGGGTGGTCATGATATTCCAAGGACGTCGGGGGTGAGTGGGGAGATTGCGGGGTTGGTTAGGTGGTGTGCGGGGGTTGTGGGGGAGGAGAGGGAGGCGGAGGCGGAGGGGAGGTGATGTGATTTGATGTGATGTTGAATGAGGGGGGAAGGTGGGGGCAGAAGGGTTTTGTAAGATTATGGTTTCTATATAGTTATAGTAATTAGAAGTTAATTGGATATCTAGGTAATCTGGATAATATTTCACATTTCATCATTCTATAATCCAGAAAATCAATATCCCTGAAACTTCCACTTACTTTTTCATTTCTCGATTGATTACTCTTTCATACGCATGCATAACTGCTTCCATTCTTTCTTCCATTTTTTCTTTCACAGTCTATAAAATTAAAATGTAAATATTCTATTCCCTCGGGTGTGTTGGAGATGGAGAATAGTGATGGACTGAGTTGAGAATAAGAGATAAAAGGTATTGAAATGCTTTTGATGAGATTGGTAGGTGGATTTGGATATATTTCTTTTTCAATTCCTTTTTGTTTGCTTTCTTTTGGGGGGCAAGGGAGGGGAGAATAGAAAGAATGGAAAGAATAGGATTTTGTGTTTGAGAGGGATGGATTGGTGGGTGGATGGATGGATAGATCGATGGGTACTAGTGTATTATATAAAACAAAACAATATACTCCAATACACTCTATCACTCCATCACTCCATCAATCTACTCGAGTATATAATCAGCACGGTATTATTATACTCCTTTCTTCTTTAGTTCATAAGGATATATATACTCATATATATATACTCAGTATAGTACTATACAAGTATACAAATATGATGTCACGATCATGATCACGGCTTCTTAGTCACGGTATTGTTTTGTTTTTCTTTTCGTGTTTTTTTTTCGGGATTACTTGTTGGTTTAATTGCTGGTTTAATTGTTGGTCTAGGATTAAGGATTAAAGACGAAAAAAAGGAGAGTGTTGGGTTTAGGAGGTTTAGAGATTTGATGATTTAGAGAATATTGTTCTCTTTTATACATAATACCGGTACTAGAGTACTCATATACAATATATATACAATCCCCACCCCCCACCTCCCTCTCTCAATCCCCTCTCCCCTCCCATCCCCTCCCCTCACAAAATCAAGGCAAAATCACGGCAAAATCTTCTCCCCCTCTCCTCTTTTCCTCCCCTCCTCCCCCAACCGATACCCAGCAAGAGACACCTGGATATCCCCCGCATACCCTATATCACCCTGGGCCTCTTCAAGTTTCTTGGTTAATTTCCCCACCATCTTTGCGATCCATTTGTCGTTTACGGCTGTGTTTACGAGGGTCTTTTTCATTCCCTGTGTGGGGGAGGGGGAGGTTAGTTTGTTTGTGGGGGAAGAAGGGGAAAGAAGGGGGAGAGAGTGATGAGGGGGAGAGAAAAGGGGAAGAGGAGAGGAGAAAGATGGGAAAGGGCGTGGGGAGGGGATGAGGGAAATGATGAGGGGAAATGATGAGGGGGAATGAGGGAGAATGATGGGGAGAATACGATAAGAGGAAATAATGAGAAGAAATAATGAGAA